CCCCAATCCTTGTGACTCCTACCACCCCGTAACCACCTGGTCGGGAATTCGCCCCTCTCCCCGCAGACCAGATCTGAGAAGACGAAGATCTGACAGATCGCAGCTGCCGACTCGATGGCACATGGACATGTACTAGGTTACTTGCAGTCCTTGCCCGTGTCAGATCCCGAAAAAGCCCGGAAATAACCGTGGGATGCGAGGAAAGACGAAGACGTCCTGTCCTGGTCTGTGCCACCGCCACCCTTCCCACTTTCTTCGTACTTCACGCCTGTCAACCCACTTGTCAGCATTCCCATCAATCCGAAGTTTTGAAACGGGACCCATTCCAATTCCTCACAGGCTCTCCTTGAACTTTAATGTACCTTTTATTGGTTACAAACTCTTGCCTTACCTCACTGCCTTTCCCCTACTCCTTCCCACCATTTCCCCGCTCAGCTCATACAACCTTTGATCCCCTCTTTAACTTCACGACCAATCCTGGTCCCAGCCATCCTTCTTTCCCCTCGTCGGCCCAGCAGCCACTCGGCCGACGCTCCCTGGTACGGATTCTCGGCAACGACCCAATATATTCGGAGGGACAATGCCCGTCTCAGGGGTCCTATCCCAGCTTCATTCCCAAATAAACCTCCGGTGGCTGTCCAGGGCCACCCCAAAACAGGTCCGGAGAGGGGTGGGCTGTCCATGTCAGGAAACAAGAAAACATTGGCAGGTTGTCAGGGAAGGAGGGGAAAGATCCTTATCACCAAGAGAAGCGGCCACGTTTCGCTCACTGCTTCAATCTGGCTCAGGTATACATGGATACGAAAAAACTATGCAGGCTAGTTGGGAAATCTCTCACAAAACAGAGCAGAAACCGCGAAAGTCACAAGAGATTCAAATATCAAACACACCACCATGCCTGGAACAGGTTCAATCCATATGTCAGGGGGGTTCCCTCCGTTTGTCTCCTCCCCTGGCCCTCTGGTCAGCTGTAATCCAATCCCTCATCTCCTTTAGGCAATTCCCAATGATGGGACCATGCCCTGTTCTTCTTTGCGCTCGCTACCCACCCGGTACGAGACGCGGAACCGCATCTTAATCGCGTTTCCTTTACCCATCGGAACCCTATCCACTAACATTTCCTGTTGCACCCCGTTCGCCTGTGAGGGTGCAATGTCCCGTCCCGACTGCGGCCGCAGTTGCAGTATGTATGACTGTGCAGCTCCATTAGCATTTGATTTCAGAAGTCATCCGCGGGGGAGAGGGGGAGAGAAGATGCTCACCTTCTCCACGGCCACTTGAAAGTGTAATTCACTCAGTGGCTGGTTAGAGCCGTTGGAAAACAGGGCTACCAAATGAATCTGCTGTGTCTGTTGGGGATGTCGGCGCGCCATGAATTCAATTCGGAGGGTCGAGTTCAGCACCTGCACGCGATTCATGCTGGGTAGCGCGTTGCTTTCTGGCAGAGATGAGGCGAAATTCCATTCGTCCTCCTCTCGCGCCTTGGTCTGGCTGTTTGCTGGTGGCGCAGGCTCGCTTCCCATCAGGTCCAGCAACGAACCTGCTGGCGGCTGAGAGTTTGAGGCCTTGCCGGAGGGCAGAGGACTGGCCTGTCGTGACCCAGCAGACACCAAGGACGCAAACGGATCGAGAGCAGGAGAAGGGGTTGCCGTAGCGGGAGAAGAGATGATGCTCTGAGGCCTCCCACCTGGGGCGGGCGTGGATGATTGTGAGGGCGACTGAGATGTGTTCATCGAGGAGAAGATGTCATAATTGGGCCTGAAGCTAGTGGACGCTTGGGGCATCGGTGGCGTCGCGGACGTCGTAGGGGCTGCGAGATCAGGTATTAGCACGCATCAACGTCACAAGGTATGTGAGTCACCTACCAGTTCCCAGCAAGATTCCACCATGAGCCGGAGCAGGCTCGTCTATTGACAGTCCCAACAAGTCATTCTCCAAAGAGTTACCTCCAGTAGGAGCCACGGCCCCATTGCCGTTGGCGTTCGGTGCGGGTTCGGGATCAAAGTCGATGAGGGAAAGTTCATTATTAGCGTTCTTCGACACGCCCGTTGTCGTGCCCAGAGTACCCTTGGGGATCTGGGAGGCCGCCTCCCAGTCGCCCTTCTTGACAAGCTTGTATCGCTCGATCGTGCGGTGTATACTGTCATTGATCTCGAGCAGCTTCTGTACGGCCTCAGGATCATCCGACTCTTCCTCGCACATCTTCTGGATCTTGGGATGGGCGCTTTGGAGTGCACTCGCCAGTTCCTTGTCGATATCCGTCAGCAGGTCTGTGCCAGTTTTGAGAGATAAAATAACCTACTTCGAAAACGTCCCCTTCAGCGACTCGGTCGCCCGGCTGGTGGCTCTGTAGCATTTCCTCCAATATCTTGGCTTTTTGCTGCACCTTGGCCACCTCTTCTGCCGCCTTGGCCCGATAGTCCGTCTTGTGTCGGTTGTCGTAACCGGCCATGACCTTCATCAACCGGTTGGCTTCTTGCAAGTCGGCGGGGGTGCCTCTGCGGATTAGCTCCTGCAGCTTAGCGGATTGAGCCTCACGCTCTTCCTCTTCCATTTCTTCGGCCGAGCGAAGGTTCTTGACGGGTCAGCGGAACGAGCGTTCAAAATCCGAGAGGGTAAACTCACGTCACTGGGATTCAGAACCGCAGCATCCTCATGGCGAATTTCCGGGAACACGTAGCCCTTGTAAAGTAGCAGACGGTGCATGTCCCGAATGTGGCCTAGGTCCTCCCTGTACCTCGACGTCTGACAGATCGTCTGTCGCCACTCCTCAATGGACTCGAGGATGCGGTGTTGCACGCGCGATGGCCGTATGGCCGGGCGCTCGGGGAAGCGACGGACCAGCTCATTGAGGAACTCCTTGGTGCTGATCTGAAGATGAAAGGGGTAACCGCAATTCTTCACACAAATGTCGAGCAACTAGCCGAAAGTGTGTCTCGTCAGTCCCATATGTTCCGCGCCAGGCTACCCGATGACATTGTTTGAGGCCACCTACTGCCAACGCCAGTAGCGCCACGTTTTGGTTGCGCGAATTGATCAGATGGACGATCTCGATAGCCGCTTCTCGAGGTCTGCGGAGCCCATTAGTTTTCCGATGGGTCGCTTCCCAGGAAGGCGGGGATGCGCAACGCCAGGCCAAAAGACTCACGCATTGCCTTTCTTGGAGTTTATCAGATCGGCCACTTCAAGATTCAGGGCGAGGTTGGGTTCATAGTGGGACAGGTCGCAGGCATTTCCTGTAGTAGTGGGAGATAAGGTATGAGCAATTCGTCATATTTCTGCAGAAGCTCCATATATCGAGAATTGTGGTGGTGGGAAAATCCAGGAGAAAGAAAACGAGAAGGAGGGGGGAGGGAGGGGGGCACGGAAGACACATACGGATAGCTCTCTGTAGCGGTGTTAAGCCCGGGTCAGCGTAGGCACCGAAGCGGTCCCTCGCTGCCATACGTGCTGAAGCGGCCTCCAGGGTGAATTAATTGAAAAGAACCAACGGGGAAATGAAAATGATAGGGGGAGTAAATTGAGAAAAGTGAGTATAGGGTAGCGCGCGCGGAGGGGGATCGGAGCCGGGGAAAGCTTTTAAGGTAGTAGTAGTCAAAAGCAGTGGGAAGAAGGATGATGATGATGATGGAGTAGGTGGAATGAATTAATGGGGGAAGCGGACAGGGAAGAATGAGGGGAACTTCTTTCCGTCCCGATGCCGGGTTGACCTGACAGGCCAGGACGGACTTGGTTGGTTCACTTGGCTGCTCTCCGTCACTGCCTGCATTTTCTCGACTCCTACACCACCATCACCTTTACACCTTCACTCATCCACCTCCTCTACGCGCTGCACACCAGTTTCATGAAATAGCTGTACATGCTTGCAGCCTGATACCTTACGCAATTCATTACTTTTTCTATACTAGCCATACAGACCTTCTAAACAGAAGCCAAAACACACTATGGTCCGCCACAAGAAGGACAACTTCTCCCGCGGCGGCAAGAAATTCTCCTCCGCCCCGCGCTCTCGTCCCCCTCCCCGCGGCGGCGGCGGCGGCGGCGGTGGCGGCGGTGATGGCGACAGTGACACCGAGCAGGGCGGTTACTCTCGTCCTCCCTTCAAGGCCGCCTGCTGGGACATGGGCCACTGCGATCCGAAGCGATGTTCCGGCAAACGATTGATGAATTTCGGCCTGATGCGCGAGTTGGCGATCGGCCAGCGCTTTCCCGGTGTCGTGATCTCGTATGTTGTCGCTCGCCAGCCCATACCCACACTCACACCTAATATGCACATATCCATGGCCTAGAATATTTATGATGTAGATATCCGTATCATGGACTCTCGTTACTAACCTTCTTGCTTCTCTCTGATTCCCAGGCCCAACGCCAAAAAAGTCGTCTCCCCCGCCGACAAGGACCTTATGGAACAATTCGGTGCCGCGGTGGTAGAATGCTCGTGGGTGCGCACCAAGGAGGTCCCTTGGTCGCGAATCGGGGGCAAGTGTGAACGATTGCGTATGTCTTTTCATCATTTATGCCATCTACATGCATCCTCTCGATTCAAGCCTAATTTCTTTTTGTATTTCAAAACAGTCCCCTACCTCATTGCCGCCAACACGGTTAACTACGGCAAACCTTGGCGTCTGAACTGCGTCGAAGCCCTGGCGGCCTGTTTCTGTATCTGCGGCCACGAGGACTGGGCTCGCGAGGTCCTCAAACCCTTCCGCTACGGTGAGGCCTTCATGGAGATCAACGCCAAGCTTTTCAAGCGCTATGCTGCCTGTGCCGATGAGGAGGAAGTGAAGCGCGCCGAGGAGGATTGGCTCGCCAAGATCGAGAGGGAGTACGAGGAGAATCGGGCCACAGGTGCGGACGATATGTGGACCGTCGGAAACACGAACCGGAGGGCTGAGAGTGATTCGGAGGAGGAGGATGAGGACAAAGTTGATGAAGAGGAAGACGAGGAGGAGGATAAGGACCCGTTCGCCATCTCGGATGATTCGGAGGAGGAAGAGCAGATGGCTGCGATCAGAGCGAAGATCTTGAATTCCAAGGCGTTCCAGAATCCCGAAGTCGAGGAGAAGGCGAAGCCCGAGCGGATCGCGAGGCCCGAAGAAGAGACCATCCCACAGCCGCTGAAAGAGGATTCAGATGCGGAGTCGGGGTCGGCGGAAGGCGGCAGTGATGATGAGGAGGATGCCTTCGATAATATCATCAATGCCACGCCTGTGACGGATCGCACGGGCATTATCGCGGCCCAGAAAAAGAAGCAGAGGGAGACGGTCAGTGCCTCGTTTTCGAGGACAGTGGTCGATGCGCCTAAAAGGTGGTAGTGGTAGTCCGTCGCGGGGGGCACTTGCACTCAGACAAAACTAATGAGATATCATGGAAATATAATGAAACAATCATGAAGTTTATACAGTTGGCATACTTTTGTATCTTGTGCAATTGCAGATAGGATATGCTTTAGAATAACAGACCGTTCTGACCATCCAAAACAAGCTGTGATCGCCAAAGCTGAGAAAGCAGTGAGAATAGCATGACAGCCCATAGTTATTATTAAGTATGAAAGGCACCGATAATTCTCACCCCATGGCTCGACCCGAAAAGCCCACAAACGCCTATTTACATGACATACCGCAAATTCACATCTATATTCCGTCAGAACCGCTTCCTACTTCATACATTATACCGGAACAACAGGACACTGCTTACCCAAGGGATGACTGCTGCTCAGCTGCGGCTTCTGCGAGTACTTGGTAGCCAACTCGTCGCGGATGCTGTTCAACAGCTGTACGTAGCTCTGCTGTGGGTTCTTGCGGAGCGCGCTGATGAATGCCCACGACATGGCTCCCGTGGCCTGTCCAGCAATCTGTGCGTCCTGGCTGGTCTGATCGTCTTTGCTGCCCGACCACATGATCACGTCTGCCGGGCTTGTCTTGGTCTGTTTGGTACGCTCGTACGCCTCGTCTCCCTTGGTCGCCTTCTTCAGGAATCCCACTGCCGTTGACATCATGCTGCTCATATCGCCCCGCGCGTATGCCGAGACCACGCCCAGCAGACCTTGACCCGCCTCCTTGGCCAAGTTGGGCTCCTTGAGAATGCCTTGGGTCGAGTAGATGTAAGGCAGATCCAGGGCAGATCCAGAATGGCACGAATCGAAGATCGCTGTGAGCCGCACTCCGGGCTGAAGTGGTTTGACCATGATGCGGTGCATCTCGTCATCGACAATATGTCCCGCGGCGCGGAAGTCGACCGGGTAGATCACCTCATCGTATCCGTCGTCCTCGTCGCCGTCCAAATCAGGGGTCTGACCGCCGTGGCCTGCTGCCGTTAGACCAGCCTCGAAAGAAAAGAGGGGTCAACATGTCGGCGCTTACCAGAGTAGTGAAAGAACAGAGAGTCGTTAGGTTGCGCATCCTTTACCAGCCAGTGCATAGCCCGGAGGATGTTGGCTTTGGTGGGTTGGCTCATAGGGTTTTGCTGGTCATCCGTCAACAGAACCATGTCCTCACGAGCATAGCCAAAGTTCTGATTCAGGTATGTTGACATATTCTTGACATCGTTGATACATCCTCGGAGTTGACCTTTCTGGTTGAAATAGTTGATTCCAATCAATAAAGCCTTTCTCTTGCCCGTGCAACGAGAATACTGGAAGCTGTAGCCTTGCGGCGCGCCCTGACCGAAAGACACCGGTTCACTTGGCGGAGGAGGAGGTCCGTTGCCCTGGCTGCTTTGGTTGTAAGAGTTGGAGTATCCTGGAGAATGTCAGTTGCGTCAAAACTGCGCGTTAAAGCGGTTTGCGGCTTACCCTGCTGACCACCATATTGGGGAGCACCATAACCACCCTAAAGGACTGCCATTAACTGTCCGTTGCACAGGAAGATAAGACTCGGGCTCGCTTGACATACATTATAGCCGCCCTGGGGCGGTTGCGATCCCGAATACTGTTGGTGCGGCGGCTGACCGTAGGGGTAAGGATTGCTGGGAGGTGGTTGTTGTTGGCGGTAGGCCTGACCAGGGTATCCCCCGCCGCCGCCGCCATAAGACGCTTGGTGATGATGATGGTGAGGATTCATTTGTCTGGGACATTGATTAGCATCAAGCACGAGGCGTCTGTTTGATTATTTGCCCAAGCAAGAAAAAGAAGGCGACTGAAACTCACTGCTGATACTGTGGTGGCGGGCTGCCGTAGCTCTGAGGGGGGTAATTATACTGCTGCTGTTGCTGCTGCGGGGGATACCCGGGCGGGCCCGAATATGGAGGATAGTAGGACATGGCCGAATTGCAGAGCAAAGGCGAGGATTTATGGAGAGTCGCAGGAGCAGAATAAGAAAGGCTGATACGCAGGGCCCAAGCAGATCACGAGTCAGGAAATAAGACGAGAGGGCAAAGCGAAGAGAGAAGAAGGGGAGAAAAAAAAAGAAGTGATGAAAGAGGAGAAGAGGAGAAGAGAAGGTCAGATGGTGAGGAAGTGAGAAAGGCGCAGTCCGTCACTGGGGAAAGGCGGCAGTGGAGCCCGACGCGCCAATTGGTGCTTCCTCGGTTGGATTTACTTTTTCTTCAATAAAATAAGAGTAAGAGAGAAGAGAAATAAATAGACGAACAAAAATAGTTTATTGGGGGACGAAAACCATAGACTTGGATGAACATTTGGATAGGTTTAGGTCTCTCTCCTGCATATCGGTCACTCCGATCCCCAGCTGCATTGCGCCGATGCAAATAATACAATCTTCCTGCCAGGTGCCAACGTCAGAATTCCAAATGCACCCCTCCTATCACACATCGTTTTCGGCCCGTCCTCATTGCTGCCCATCCTCTGGCTATCAGCCATCATGGTGCCGCCGAAGAACTGCCGGGGGTATAGAACCTATCGATTCAAGGCTATCGCGAAAGAATTCAAGGTTCATGGCCTCGTGGAATTTCAGGACAGCAGCACGTGATGCCGTAAGGGCCCAGGAAGTGAGTGACAGATAGTGGGCCTTTCCCGATCGGGATAATTTAGTCTACGAACAGCCCCTATATCAAAAGGATCCAATATGGAGGGCAAAAATAAGAAGATAAAGAAAATATGATATTATCCACAACCAACGGAAAGCACTCAAGCGCTATTCAGATGATTGATTGCTTTTATATTCGACCATTCCATCGCATACAGGTCCAAATCTATTCTTCGTCCGCCTATCGTTTACCGTCCGCGGCGAGGCATGCCACGTCCGCGGCCACCCAGAGCGCGCTGGGCAGCACCCGGCGGGAGTCCACGCGCCGGGGCCTGAGCTTGGGCTGACTCTTCGTTCTCTGTAGAAAGAAAGGTTGTCACGTCAGCTCTAAACTAGAATCGGGTCGGGATGCTGGGTCTCTTACTAATAGTTTCGTCCACGCTCAGAATCAGGCAGGCTGCCTCAACAGCCGCCTGGATGGCATTGACCTTAACCAGACTGGGCTCCCACACGAAGGCAACCATGTTGTCCCGAACACCTTCGTTGTCAAAGTCTACACCTGCCCAGACGTTGCCCTTGCGGTGTTCCACCCGCAGGCGGTTCAGGATGTCCGTCGCGTCGAATCCAGCGTTGTCGCACAGCTGACGGGGAATCACCTCCAAGGCCTTGGCAAAGGCCTTGACCACTGCCTGCTGCTTGTGGGGCACGTTGCGGTCCGCGAAGCCGTGCATGAAGCTCGACAGTTCCATCTCGGTGGCACCGCCACCCGCAACAATGGTGGTGTGGCGGAGAGCACGCTTGACGATCATAATGGCATCGTGCAGACTGCGCTCAACCTCCGCAATAAATTGCTCCGCTCCACCGCGCAGCACGAGTGTGCAAGTCTTGGCGGCAGGACATTCCGAGAAAAGATTGTAGCGCTCACCACCAATTTGACGTTCTTCAAAGACACCGCATGTACCCAAGTGACGATCTTGGATGTCACTGCAAGTCGATTGCGTTGCCGCACCGGTCGCCTGGCAGACCCGGTCCATATCATCAGCAGCCACACGACCAGCACAGAAAATATCGCGATCCGCAAAGTACCTGTGCACAGTGAATCGAACATTAGTGACTTGCAGGCCAACGGCAAGGATGGTGAAAGAAAGACATACTGCGTAGCCAAATCACCAATAGGCAGCTTGCTGAGAACAACCTTGGCGCCGGTCTTGTAGATGGCTTCCAGCTTGTTGTAAATGATCTGCCACTCGGCATCGACAATAGCCTGGTACTCCGACACATGCTCCACGCGCACTTCGGCGTTGTCCTTCTCGCTCTTCAACTCCAACTCAACGTTCAGACACACAATCTTGGGGTCTTTGAAGTACTTCGGCTGTTGCTCGAAACCGGCATAGGAGAAGGTCTTCTTGAAGGCAACACCGTTGACGAAGAGTGAATCCTGCAGACCACCACCAGTAACTCTCTTGATACCGATCAGCTTCTCGTTGAGGTCATCCTGGTCGAGCGACAAGACGGCATCCACCACCACTAGAACAAATTTTAGTTTCCAGGCCGGGACCCTTGTATAACCGGAAGGCCAACTTACTCTTAGTGAAGAAGTCTGAGTTGCGCTTAATAAGCTTGCTGTTCATCGCGGTTGCGGCCAGGCGTCGTAGCGTCTCGACCTTCTTCTCCTCGCTTCCGGCAGCCTCGATCATGTCGATAGCAATCTCTTTGATCTTGTTCACGGCCATGGAGCTGGCTCTCCGCAGACCCTTGACAATAGTCTGTGAACTGACTCCCTGCTCGACGAGTTCCCGAACTTCCTTCAAGATCTCACCGGCCAAGACGACAACCGATGTTGTTCCATCTCCCACTTCGGCATCTTGAGACCGGGCAATGTCGGTGAGAATGCGGGCGGCGGGGTGCACGATATCGAGGAGCTAGATGGAGGGTAAATGTCATCAGCATCCGACAGCGGGGTAAGGAATGTATTATCTGTCCAAGGAAAACAAGAAAAAAGGAGTCAAGTGAAGACATATGACAATCGGGACTGACGCACCTTCATGACGGTGGCTCCATCGTTCGTAATGGTCTGCTTGCCGTTGCCGTCCACCAGCAACAAGTCTCCTCCATATGGGCCGAGGGTGCTCTTGATCGTAGACTGAACTGCAACACAGGCATTGATGTTGGAGATAATTTGACCCTTTCCCTGCGAGGTGTCCGTGCCTGTTGGACGCAAAATCACAAGGTCAGTTAGCAACGATGCGCGGTACACACAGAAGCAGCATTTGGATGCGGGCGAGGTGACGGACCCTCCTTGAGCACGATGATCGTGGGAGTTTGGCCAGCGAAGGCCATTTTGGTGGAAATGAATGGGCGGAAAGAGAGGGCAAAGCGAGGGAAAGGTGAAGAGCCGAGAGCGAAAGCGTGGGGAGTTGATGGAAGAGTGGCCCTGAATAATGATCGCAGCTTTCTCGGAGGGGTCTCAATAATGCCTGCCTCTCTGACCAAAATTTCCCCGAGCTCCCAGCGTCGAAGGCGGTGACCAATCATGCCGCGCCCCGCAGCCCTCCTTTTCGACCGCCGGGGAGTAAGTTACTTTAGGTATTCAACTACTATGAGTACTACTAGCATAAACACGACCGCATCTCGTCTCATATTGTTCTCTTTACTCGGCTCACCTGGGCTGAGTATGATCTTAATTAGTGGTTTACTGTCAGTCGCGGGAAATTGTACAGCATCATAAGAGATCAGGACGAGCCATTATTACTGCCCTCACGAGCAGCTCTGTTCACAACCTTCCTACAAACATTGGTTCTAGACACTAATAACTTATGCAGCTTGACTCGGAGCTCCCAGAACCCATGTTTCATGGCTATGTGTCAAGAAAGCATTCAAACTCGAGTAATTGTCATCATGTGGCTGATGCTGTGGAGGCAGAAAGTCCTTCTGTACTGTCGGGCTGACGTTCCGTTTGCTGCATGCGAGAACATCATCGATGATTCTAAATCTATAGGCAGAAATACTTCATGATCGAACACACAGACCTCTTCGATAGCTCAAAATCTCTTGTCGAAAAGAAACTCCCTCCATGATAATGTGCATGAAGATGGCCATGAGTTCAGATTTGCGCCAGAACTTAAGAGGTCACGGGCAATAAGACTGGCTCAGTTCGGGTCGAAGTTAAAGTCCCAACGACTGCTGCAACGCCGAATCATCGAGTATTGACCAAAAAATGATTTGGTGTTGCATTGGCTTCCTTTCCACTGTAGCCCTTTCCACTGTAGCCGTGGGAAGGGGGGCATCTGCAAGGCTCAGTTGTATATGAGCACCAGCAAAGGCTCGGAAAGCATATGGTCCATGTACGCATTAACGAACAACTTCTGTCGACCTTCAAAAGTTATCAAGTCTTTGGGGTTATCAACTTATGGGGTTATTCCAGGGTCAAAAATTCATGTATTGAAGGTTGCGTTTAGCAGTCGAGAAGTGATGTCACGCAACCGTATGTTTTCCACATCAAACTTCGGTTGCTTCTATGCTTCTACATGAACCACTTCTGCTCCATGAACAAAGAGCTCCTCTAGCTGCGAACATTTTTCTCTACTGTAAATCCTCCGATTGTGTTGTTGCAGACTCTAGGTTACATCTGTCATCTATCTAATAGCTCCAATGTCGACTGGAAATGCCCCTCAGTTCTACCCCAATACGCTGAGTCCTGTTGTGATCAGCAAAGGCTCCTTGGAAGATACACTGAAGCAGCTCCAAGAGGCTATTAAACATGGGGCTATTCTTCTACAGGAAAACTGTCCCCCGCTCAAATATTGGGGAAAATCCCATAATACTGGTTTCTATGCTGGTTTTCCAGGTATATCGTCGCCGCATATACCAACGACCGCCGTTCCTTGATCAAATCACCCTTTGTTCGTGTTCCGCTGATGATAGCTTAGGCATCGTTCTGGCCTTCTTGCGCCTAGACCACCAAGTCAAATCACTTGGGGTTGGCTCTCAGGACTTTCATCAGCTTGCCATTGAGCGGATATTGCCAGAAGGCCCGGATGTGCCAATCCTGCATGAGAGAGTGTCTCCGTTCGGCTCTTCCAGCGCATTGGCTGGTCCGATACTACGCATCCTTGCCTCAAGGGACTTGAAGACAATAGTTCCTGGTGACGATACGGCATGCATCCAAGAGGCGATGCGGATCGCTCTGACTAATGGTCACATGGTATCACATGGTGGTTCGCTCATGGGATCAGATGAAGTTCTATTTGGCCGAGCCGGCTTGCTGTGGGCGTTGCTCAACCTTCGACTGCGTACTTATGAGGATGAGACAGCGCATGCCTTAACACTGGTTTTCAAAGAGATACCTCGGCTAGTCGACCGTATCATTGCGAGTGGAATCGACGGTAGAGAAGACTTCATCTCCAAGCATGGAGAGCAATATTCATTGCCATTGATGTGGCATTGGAAGGAAGACCGGTACAGTCTTGGGGCGTTAGTATTTTCTCAACTAATGTTTTTGCACTAAATTGACAATGTGACCAGAATACATGGCATAGGCAAGTATATATACACTATGCAATAATCATAAGGTTTCGATAACTGACAGTTCTCTCTGATAAGCTGGCATACTTTCTAGTCTCCTTGCCTGCAAGCCAGAGGAACTCAGCAACGGTGCAGAACGCAACTATTGGCCACTAATAGCTGGAACAATTACAGGTCTTTGCAAAATATGTATTGCCAATGGTGGCCACCTGCCTACCAGTCTTCCTTTTCATGGCTCCTCGCGTCGCTCTAGCCCTCTTGTTCAAATATGTCACGGCAGCCCCGGCTTCTTGAATCTCATGGCTTGCGCCAGGAGAAATCGTTCCTTGGTTTCCACTTCCTGGCAGCTGGAGTGGGATAAGGCCATTTCTGTGGCGTGTGATCGGGTCTGGGAGGAAGGAATCCTGTACAAGGGTGGCGGCTTATGCCATGGGATTGCAGGAAATGCATGGTCGTTGCTTCTCCTTCATGACAGCTTTCAGTATGATGAGGATTTCATGGAGACAACCAGGCGTAACTACGTCGCGCGAACGGGAGATGTTGATGCAGCACCCAATGCAAGCGAGCTAACAGGCGACCACTTTCTTGCAAGAGCACTCGCATTACTATTAGAGGCGCAAAAAACGCCCCCTTACAATGATTCGAAACGAGACTCGTCCTTGTACCGCATGCCCGATCGCCCGTATTCCCTCGCAGAAGGCCTCGCTGGCACTGTTTGTGCGTGGGCAAACGCTTGTGTAATCCTCCAGTCAAGGCTACGGAGCATGCACATACAGAATGACTCTTCCTCCCACAATATGGACGCTGTGTTTCAGGAGTACGAATTGCAGAAGCTGGAAATCCCAATGCTTGCTTACCACAAGCCTACTGGGCTACTATAACTATCTGTTTACAGAAAGCTGTCTATTCATCACGAGAATAAATCGTGCAAGTTCAAATTGAACATTGCTATAATGCTCCAGACACATTAGAATGAAATGTGAAGTGTCAAATCAGCCATCAGAGGAACTCCTAGACGCCATGCTTATACTGGAAACTCAATCATTAGTCGGGTAATTTTTGCACCTGAATCCAAGCACCGTGAACAATTATTGTTGCCATAGCCATGTTTTAGAAGAGCGTGAAACCGGAGCGATACATAGGTGGTTGGCCTGGTATTTGAAACTTGTATTCAGCACGCCTCGGCACAAATTGGCCTTGCGGCGCCTCAACCGCAACCCTCCATCGCCGCCAACAATTTGTGATCTGATGATGCCTATCGCCACAGAATGAACACTGCTTTGGCCCGCGATGGGGCTGATTCGGTGGTGCTTGCGCTCGCGCTTGCTGGCCGCTGTGAGATTTTTCCGCTTGCTCGCGATGCATCTGTTCAATCACATAGTCGTTGATTTCTTCTTGGCTCGGCCTTTTGTTGTGGCCTCGTACACTTTTGCTGCGACTGTGTATCTGCTCGTCATGGGTCATTCGCTGGACGACAAAGGCGTTTATGTCATCTTGAGTCAGAGTATCAGGTTCCATTGACGTCTTCTGCGGAGACGCAAAGCCTCGCTCTGAGATTGCGTTTTCTTTCCTGCCCTTCCCTGGCAATTGTCGCAGTCTTTCCTGCTTCATGGCCAGACTCGCCAGCTCTTGGAATGACATCCGGTCCTCTGGGTTGGAGGCATTTATGCGGCTATCTCGCAGCAATGTCGTAGCCCAGTCCCTCCAACCAGTACACTCTTTGAGCTTGGTGAGAAATAACAAATTGATCTGAGAGTCCGGTATGCGAAAACCATCATTGATTTGTGCGAGCCCTTCTCGAAGTGCTTCAATCAGAGAAATAAAGTCAGCGACCATATCGGATTTGTCGGGGTCGAGATCAACGAATTCCCCGATATAGTGCATTATCCGAGTATTTTGTTGCCAGGATCCCATCCTCAGCCAGGAACTCAAGGTAGAAAGAATGCGCACAGCAGGAACGAAAAACGAAGAAGAATATGCTATAAGGACTGCATGGTAAAGGTTCTCTGGCGGCTTTTTGTGATGATTTGGAGTGTTTTGCAGACGAAGCGGGGGATGACGTCAGACGGGTACCTGCCCGTCAGCTTGCCAGATTCAGTAAGGACTCAGTTCATTCCATGGGCTTAATGATCCCCAGATCCATAGAGACCTTCTTCCCTTCTCTGCTTTCCTGACAGCTGTCTGCCTCGATCATTGACCACGAGGCGATCTTCGCGACCTCAAATGTCGTTCGTGCTTACGGACAGCAAATAAGAATCCACAAGCTTATTGCCTTATGGATCCTTGGTGTCTTCCTACGCCCCATCGCACCCCGTGGCAGTGCCCGGCGCGCTGACTGCAGATTTGGGGCCGAGCGTTTCTTGGCCCCCGACTTTATGACAACCAAATGATCGTCCCAATCTGTTAAGCTTGCTGGAACTTCTTCGTATTTCAAACGCTGCCTCCTGATCTCGCCCCTACTCCGTCTGAGAAAAAAAGAAAGAAGATATAGTGGTTCCAGACTAGCCCGAGAAATCACTAAGAGAACCAAGGCCCCCAACCAACCCACATGTAGCAACCATGGACACAGTGCCACCATCCTATCAGTCTGCTACAGCCCGCGATGCATGGTCCATTATATCGCAGTACATCCCATCAAGCGACCTGTGCGCTGCTGCTTTGGTTTGTCGGCGATGGCATGGGCTGTTCATGCCGTTTCTATGGGGTGACCCTGCTTCACACTTTGGGACTGAAAATGATGCAGTCTACGGTATGATACCCCGGTCTTTGGGGCGGGTGTTGGAATCTTAGCGCTGACGAAAGATATGCCATGCAGTCGCTTTGACAAGATTCAGGCGGACACTCAAGTATGCCCGTCTCGAGGTGCGGATGCTCACTCATACGCTGCATCTACCCCCGGCCTTGTCAGAAATCTATGGTGGTCCACGTCCAGAGTGGCTGAGGGAGATCCTAGACTCTCTGCCAAACCTCCAGTCTCTCATAGTGTCCAAGTTGCCTTTTTTCGATCATAATGCCATGATGGCTCTGAAGGGCGCTAGTAGGGGTGTTGAAGATGAAGCAACAACTTCCCGCACATACAACATTCGCTTACTACTGGCGGACAGTGAATATAACACAACCTCACAGGGCATTGCAGAGACGCTGATGTACTTCCCTGAACTGACCTACCTCGATTTATCCTATACTACCCCTGCTAGAGATCACTTGGTTCTGTCGGCTTTATCACAACTAGAATGCCTTCGAGTACTCAAGCTACGAGGCATCGGGTTGAAAGATAACGATGCAGAGTTTCTTGCTAACGCCATTGGCTATCGTGTTCGGTTTCTTGACTTGCGCAACAACCTTCTTACTGATATGGCTGTGAGGTCTCTGCTGCAAGCCTGCTTTCGACCCACAAGCAATGTCACCGCAGAACTTAGCCCGAGAAGGACTGGAGCATGGGGCAGTCCGATTGGCGGATCTCAGTCAATACCCCTCTCGTCGATGCAAAGGTTTCTAAGTAGCCCTATGCTGGATGAGAAATACATGGCAGCATTGACCCAGCCACTAACAGGACGTTCCTGGGTTGAAGACTTATCAGAAGTTGGTATAACCCATCTTTACATCTCGGACAACCTCATTTCAGTAGAAGGAGCAGCAAGCCTCCTCGCCTCGTCTTGTCTGCACGCTCTTGACGTCGGGACGGTCAATACTGCTGAATCCATCAATAGACGACAGCGTTCGCTGGCTTCTGCAAATGAGGACCGTCAGGATCTTCCAGGAGCTGAGAAATTAGTTCCTGTCTTGGGCTCTGCTGCTAAGGAAAACCTTACATATCTTAGAGCCCATCATGCGCTCTGCTCCGCTGAAGTACCCGCAAAGGATGCCACATCACCCGACGCACTTTTGCCCGAACTCCCGGCAGGAAATATTAACGGTGAGCCGCGTATACCAGAGCTAGAGTCCACCAGCGAGATTCATGAGCTACCAACGGATTCGACGCCCATTTATGAGCTCGACGGCACTCAAGTGCCTCGGCCATCAAACCCGCCTTCACGCATTGCTGACTGCAACACCAGTCCCACTTTGTATGAAGACGAGCCATTACCTCAATGGCGACGTGGTTCAGTCTTTGCACCTGAAGCAATTGACGCTCCAGAAGTGAATAGAGAGGGAGTGAGACATTCTAACTTCGCCACTCCACCGCCCCGACTGCCTCACGAATTGTCGACCTCCAGTATATCCAGCATCCTGGATAGCAGTATCGACTCATCAGGCAGCCGAACACTGTGTTCCTCTCCAGTGGCGGTAGATGATTCCCGCGCTCAGAAAGTCCAGGAACTACTTTCTAAGCGTCCTAAGGGCCTTCCTCGCCGGAATAGCAGAGGAGGTCACTATTATCCACATCTGCATCCTTCCCACGTGTCTCATCTAGAACAGCTTGTATTGACTGACGTTCCATCTCATGTACCCGCAAAGTCGCCGATTCTTGCGTCATTGATCCGTTTTATGACAGCCTGCTCGAACGAATCATTACTAGCTACGCTTCAGGCAGGATCGGATTACTCGCTTCCACCTGGTCAAGCTCGACTGCAAGCCGAACAAGAGAGTGCTCGGTCCTTATTTGCCTTGCGCCGGATTGTACTTGAAATTACGCCAACATCCCCAGCTCAGGGTCGCGCTAGGTTGACTCGATGGAGACCTACCAGCTACCAGGCTGGTACCTTGAAATCAAGTACTGGAGACCAGGACTCCGAAAACCTTTGGTCAGCAGCCGTTGATGACTTCAGCTTCTTCGGCGAGGAAGAGTGTGGCGTTCCAGATGGCTATTCAGGAAAATACTTTCCCATGGCCGTTTTGAATGAAAAGGTCTCGTTGGTACCAGAAGACGAAGACCCCAGGCTCTCTGGACCCCCGGAATCAAACGCCACTTCATCTCCAATATCAATCAGCTCAGGTCAGCAATTCACACCGCAAGCTAGATCGAGGACTATTTCGGTAGGCTCCGCATCTACCGCAAGAGATGGTCACCCGGAAGGCCCATCGACTACTACAGCGGGCATGAGAAGCTCTGCCATCGCAGAATCTCAAGTTGAAGTCTCGATGGTAGATCTTGTCGCTGAGCTGGCTGCCTTCCGACGCGCTAAAAAGATAGAGTATGAAGAAGGGGTAAGGCGCGATCGAAGGCGACGGGATACAGTGGGGACCATAGGCTCCTCTCATCTCTCTCCTACCACTACAACCTCCTCTTTTCAATCTCCTCCTTCCCCGAGCTTCTCTTCGTTAGCAGGGGCATCATCCTCTATGCAATCCATTCAACAGTTTGTGGAAGGCCACTGGAAAGGAGAAGTGAAGATAATACGAAATCCGACCCCCAAGGGACGCAGCGGGATTGTTGATATGTATGGGAACTATTTTGAGAAGGGTTATTTGTACCCTTGAGTCCGGGTAGACTGCTTATATTGAGAGAACATGGCAAGCCTAGCATGTTCTGATCAACACATGCAATACAGGGCCAAAGGCAGTAGCTAAAGCATTTACCCGAATGGAAACATTCAATATCGATGTCTTCCAAAGAGGAAGAGATGCGACTGCGTGGCTCCTTTGTCTGCGGGCCAATATCTGATGTATCTACAATATCTCCTGAGAGTCCCTTAAACTTTTGATAATCCGTTTTTTTTTTCAAACCCCGTAACTGAATCCCGTTCATTGAAAAGTAAAGAAAAAGATGGTTTCATCAAGCACACATGATCGAGAGAAAAGCGTTACGCCGAGTAGGAATTGGCCCTTTTTCAAACTAATTCCATTTTTGTTCTCTTTCGAGGAAAAAAAAGTGATTAATGATTCATTCCATTTCCTTTCCCTTAGTTGGCCTTAGCGGCCTGAGGGGGGCTCAGCTTCTTGCCGTCCTTGTTGTACCTGATGCGAGGAGGAGGGGCACGGTTGCGACGACCTTCCCGGGAGCGGACACTGGAAGTTAAGGTCAGCATCGAGCGACAGCCATGCTTGGAGGGGTCTCATTCGTACCGGACGATCTTGCCGTGAATAGCGCAGGAGACACAGTACTGCAGCTTGAGGTACATCTTGGGGACGGCGTAGTCAGTGAAGACGGAGGCGTCGGAGATATCACCTGCAGAGAGTAGATGTCAGTCGCGGAGCCCATGTCGCTTCATGTGTGTCCGGCGGCCTATTGCTCAATTCCTGCGGCGGTCGAAAAGTCCACCAACTCGTCTCTCCGTTACTCAATACAGTCGATCGGGTCCAGCTCTTCCTCGAACAATAGGCGGCGCGCGGTACAACAAAGATGGGATTTTGCGGTGATTAAATCGGTGGAACGTACGGATGGCAGCGGACTCAACCATGTTGCGGATGGTGAATCTCTTGATGGCCTTGTCCTTGGGGGTGCAGCGCGCGCAGTTGGAGCAGCGCACGGGCTTGACGTGGCCGCGGCCGTTCTTGTTGCGACCGCTATAGGAGAGAAGCGTTAGTTTCTAACCCGTTGAACAGACTTGTGATGTATTATGTTTTTTCCCCAAAAGTGCCTTGGGAAATCCACTCCATCTTCATGTCTGTCGAACAAATCACGACCGATTAGACATATCCGCCGGGCCTCTTTCGAAATTGATTCGATTCGGAATGTGACTCTTCTTGTATCGTTCGAATTGTTGATCAGGTCCCGGCGTATGTATGTGCGGATGCGTGCAATTTGACAGTCCAGAGCATGATTTCGGAGATTGGATATGTGGATTTTGAATATAGTTGTGTGGGAGCAAGCAAAATCAGGGTGGTTTATCGGTTGTTCTTACTTGTTCGCCCTCTTCTTGACCATCTTGACGGATTTTTCTGTGGCGGCGGGTCAGAGACTGGAAGTCAGGAAAAATCGGGGGGCGGGAGGAGGTTGAGCGCGTACTTGGTTATCGGGGTTGGTTGTCGTCGTAAAGGCACCGGGGTCTCTCGCTCACTCGGGATGAGGTTGTGTCGGGTTTGTGTGGGAGCCCTATGCCCTTAAGCGAGGCGGGTCACGGGATTGAGGCTTCCCAGGATTTGTGCCTTGATGCCTTGGGACCTGTTGAGTGCCTGAGGTGTGGAAGTGTGGCTGATGTGGGGCAGTATCTTCACGCCTTAGGCAGTAACGTTTCCTCTCATGTGACCTGATTCGAAAGTGGCCTGACCGCCTTTGACGAAGCGAAGTTGGCAGATTCAGGCTGGGTCACGGGTTGGGTTGGGTGATCCGTTCATCACTGCAGCAGTTCATGAGTTCACGTGCTTTCGGCCCAACGAAATCGAGTCCCGACTCACATTCAATTTTCCCCTTGAATGGTTTAGCGGCAATGGCCGATCCATCATTACGGTACACTAATACGGTATTTTGTTTACTCCTGCGGATCTTGATGGCTTGGTGGATGGCATGCGTGGCGGAGGGTGGGTGGTTCTGTATGTATTGAAGTGGTCCCATCGGGGGGGAGAAAGATGCAGTCTCCGTCGTCCACTTCCCTCCCTGAGAGTTGAAACTGTCAATAACAAGTAAATAGTTTGGCCGAACTAGAACTAAGTTGGGAAACCTCCTTCTTCGTCCCCAATTCCTATTCTTTCTCTCCCTCCTCCCCCCCCCCCCCACTCTCCCTACCTACCTCCCTCCCTCCCCTGGTTTGTACCGTATCTTTCTTGTGAATCAACTTCATCCTCAAATTTCTTCCTCGTTTTCACTCTCTGTTCCTTCTTGTCTTTGCGTGGTTGCATCTCTCTCTCCTCCCGTTTCGAGAAGACTAGTCACCCTCTCTCTATCTCCTTAAAGTCCCGGTTGTCTACAATCAGACTGTTAACTAAGTAGTCTCCGCTTCTCTTTCTGAACCGGTTCGTCCAAACACAGACCGACTTTAAGTCAGCTCCGCCAGTCACCGACCGGGGACATGTCATCCACACCCACTTTTAAAGGAACCATCAACCACAAAACGGTCGGCAGAGGCAGGCTGCCCGACTTTCAAGACAGTCACATTCCTCGTCCTCGCCCGGACACCTCCTCCACTGTACACACCCCGCAGACCGCGTCCAGCGATATTGGAAGCAACACCATGAGTGCTGCCAGCAGTCGACAGCGTCAAAATCAGTCCAAGCGCGATGAGGTATGCTTGATTCTCCACTTGATTCTCTTCTTGAGGTTTTTTTTTCTCTCTACTTCGCTGCACCGGTGATCAGTCGTAACATGGGTCGAAGTCTGAAGCCATCTCCATGGAGTTGCGAGAACACGAAAACATAAGGAAAATTTGCTTAAAGGGGGTCATCCCAGCCTTGACTCAATTCTAACTACTCCTTCAATCCAGGCGATTCGGCGAAAATTGGAGGCCGACCTCAACAAAAAGCGCCAACACACGACCAGAGCAAACCGTTCTCGCAAAGCTCCTCCCGGCACCGTTCTTGCTTTGAAACCCAGCCAAGCCCTGCAGATTAAGCCTAATACTACCATTGCCGAAGCCGCCCAGTTGATGGCCGCCAAGAGAGAAGACTGCGTACTGGTTACCGACGATGATGACCGTATCTCTGGTATCTTCACCGCGAAGGATCTCGCTTTCCGGGTGGTGGGAGCAGGCCACAAGGCGCGTGAAGTCACGGTGGCTGAGATCATGACCAAGAACCCTCTTTGCGCCAGGACCGACACAAGCGCCACCGATGCTCTCGATCTGATGGTGCGTAAGGGATTCCGCCATTTGCCCGTCATGGATGAGAATCAGGACATCTCCGGTGTGCTTGATATTACGAAATGCTTCTACGATGCGATGGAGAAACTGGAACGTGCCTACAGCTCTTCCCGCAAACTCTACGACGCCTTGGAAGGTGTCCAGACCGAACTCGGCTCCAGCCAGCCCCAGCAAATCATTCAGTACGTCGAAGCTTTGCGGCATAAGATGTCCGGCCCGACGCTGGAGTCTGTCCTAGACGGCATGCCCCCGACCACCGTCTCTGTCCGCACAACCGTCAAGGAAGCGGCTGCTTTGATGAAAGAGCACCACACCACCGCCCTTCTCGTACAGGACCAGGGCTCTATTACCGGCATCTTCACCAGCAAGGACATCGTACTGCGTGTCATTGCTCCGGGACTTGACCCCGCCACTTGCAGTGTTGTTCGCGTCATGACCCCTCACCCGGATTTTGCCCCCAGCGACATGAGTATCCAAGCTGCGCTTCGGAAAATGCACGGTATGTACACCAGCTTGAGATTATGTTAGAGAACAGGGCTAATAGCAGAGATATTTAGACGGACACTACCTGAACCTGCCTGTTATGAACGATGCAGGAGAGATTGTGGGTATGGTGGATGTGCTCAAGTTGACATATGCGACTCTAGAACAGGTCAGTGTGAATCCAAGCTTTCAATGGTCCTGAATCTAATATCCCAGCAGATCAATACCATGTCGTCACAAGACGATGAGGGTCCCGCATGGAACAAGTTCTGGCTCTCAATGGACCACGAGTCAGACTCAATGGTCTCAGGAAGCCAGCAGCCCGCTCAGCGGTCAGTGATCAGCCCCGAGTCACCCAAGGCTAGTTATGACACTCGGGACAGCGTTCTCCCCAACGAGTCTGCCTCCCACCACGGTGGGGATGAGCATTCGGAATACGCGGAGCCGCACCATGCGGAACACATCTCGTTTCCGTTCAAATTCAAGGCTCCCAGTGGACGAGTGCACCGCGTTAATGTTCTTCCTGCTGCCGGTGTCGCCGAGCTGGTCGCTCAAGTATCGGCCAAATTGGGTCCCGAGGTAGAGGCCGTCGGCGGTGCTCCAATCAGCGAAGACGGCAAGCTCAGCAACACGGGCTATGCTCTCAGTTATATGGACAACGAAGGCGACACCGTTTCAATCACCACAGATCAGGATCTGTCTGATGCTGTGAGTCTCGCGCGTCTGTCGCATAGAGACAAGGTCGATCTGTTCGTGCACGATCCTAGCCAGCCTCCAATTCCGGCTACTCTGGATCCTCAACCAGCTCCGACCCGTCCTGTCGAGGAGAAAAGTGTGATCTCTGAGGAACGAACCGAGGAGGAGGTGCTAGTGGCCAAGCCCCCCCGGGCTCAGTCCTTCCCTGCACACCACGTCGAGGAGCAGTTCATTGCCGGAGTTCCCAACGAGCTACTGTTGCCTGGAGCGATTGTGACCTTGGCCGCGGTGATTGCGGGTGTATTCATCCTAGGCCGGGCTACTTCTCGGTGAATTCCAAGGTCGTGGTTGCGTACGAAGATAGAAAGCTATATGTAATTATGTCTCTTTACTTTCCTGTTTGTCTAATGTTTGTCATAGCCCATCTCGTATCTGTGTAATACTATTGGCGATCTTTCTGGAGATTTCTCTCCCTTCTTCTTCTCTTCCCGGCTTGACCTCTCTCGACTTGAGGGTATTGTTTGGCGCGATGGTACCCTGGTCAAAGTGCGTGGTGTTAGATTCCCTGATTCACATCCGCATGGTGAAGTCTCTTTGGGCTGAGGTAGATTTCACGAGCGAATTGAAAAGAACAAGAACAAAGACGAGAAGCGGCTTGGATTGCTGAGTGGACATTGTAATATCAACCAATGGAGGTAGTAAATAGTACTCATCTGCGCATAATTGGGCTGATGATCTGCCGATTGAATGCTGAGCTGGTTGCCTGGGATGCCTGAACTGATGCCTGAATGGGCAGATCAGTGCCTGGAGAATCTAGGCTTAGTCCGGACTAGGACTAGCTCGTTGGCAGTGTACTACCCTGTATTGTTTGCTCTTTTCGATTTTTACCACTGCATTAGTGGCTGAATTATCCCATTGGATACGGGACCAATACCAATTGTACACTTCCCCCCCCCCCTCCCCCTCTCTCTTTCTTCACTTTAGTGACTTTACCCAACTAAACCTCTTTCTTGTCTCTCTCTCTCTAAGGCTTTCTTCCCCTTTCAACTTTCCCCTCCTCTCCCTCTTTTCTCTTCCTCCGTTGCTTGGTGTCCACCTGCCGTTTTCTGGATCGGCTGCAATGCTGAGTTGCGCTTTTCTTTTTTAAATATTCCAGAATCAATATTCAGTCCACGATCTTTGCTTGAAGGCTTCCGACCGCCTTCCCTTCAATCGACCTGTCACGAACTTTTTTTTCGCTGCCGCCCCCCCACCAAAAACAATATTTCCCAGAGAGCCTAAACAACCTCCTTCCTTCCCACCTTAACCCACCCCCAACCCGACACCACACAACCCCCCGGGTTCAAGCGCTGAACCCGCGTTCTTCTAGACTTCAATCTAAGCAGTTTTGGCGGGTTAACTGTCTAGATTGATTGAATCCAGTCCGTTAAAATGTCATTGCTCCCTCCCGAGGTCCACTCGGCTCTCTCGCAGCTGTTGCGCGCCCTCTCTACCCCCGACAATGCGGTCCGTACCCAGGCGGAAGAACAGTTGAACAATGATTGGATTCAGAACCGCCCTGATGTTCTGCTGATGGGCTTAGCGGAGCAGATTCAGGGTGCGGAGGATGTCTTGGTAGGTGTTGCGCTATCCGGAACAAAGAATACAACGGGTGGGCGGGCTGGATGTGTTTCCATCCGTCCAGATTGTGTATTCAGCCATGCGGTCTGTAGGTCCCAAATGCTCATCGTTCGTCTTCTCTAGACCCGCTCCTTCTCCGCTGTTCTGTTCAGAAGAATGGCGACCAAGACCCGCAAAGATCCCATTTCCAATGAGGCCAAGGAGCTCTTCTCGACCCTGACCGGAGAACAAAGATTAATCATCCGGCAAAAGCTGGTGACTTGCCTGACGAGCGAGTCCGTCACCGACGTTCGCAAGAAGATCGGAGATGCCGTGGCTGAGATCGCCAGACAGTACACCGATAACGGTATGCACATTGTTTGATGTGAGAGGGTCATGTTTACGTGCTGACAACGGTGTGCAGGCGACCAATGGCCCGAGTTGCTGGGGGTCCTTTTCCAGGCTAGTCAGTCCCCCGAGGCTGGTCTGCGTGAGGCCGCTTTCCGCATCTTCTCGACCACTCCCGGAATCATCGAAAAGTCTCACGAGGATGCCGTGGTTGGTGTCTTCAGCAAGGGCTTCAAGGATGACGTTGTTTCGGTATGTTTTCCGCTGGAAACCTTCCTCGATGGAGTATTGACCAGTTGTATAGGTGCGCATTGCAGCCATGGAGGCCTTCGCTTCGTTCTTCCGCTCGATCTCCAAGAAGTCGCAACCTAAGTTCTTCCCGCTCATGCCCGACTTGCTCAACATCTTGCCCCCGCTCAAGGAGTCGTCTGAGAGCGACGAACTCTCTTCTGCCTTCTTGGCACTCATTGAGTTGGCTGAGATCTGCCCCAAGATGTTCAAGACCATGTTCAACAACTTGGTCACTTTCAGTATCAGTGTGATTGCCGATAAGGATCTCAGTGATCAAGTCCGTCAAAATGCCTTGGAACTGATGGCCACTTTTGCCGACTATGCTCCCTCGATGTGCAAGAAGAACCCCGAGTTCGCACAGCAGATGGTCACTCAATGTCTGAGCTTGATGACCGACATCGGTATTGATGACGATGATGCTGAAGAATGGAACGCCTCTGAGGATGTGAGTTGATTTGAGCGCTGCTTCGCAAAGAGTTTGGACCAACACTGACCTTATCAGCTTGATCTGGAAGAGAGCGACCTCAACCACGTTGCCGGTGAACAGTGCATGGACCGGTTGGCCAACAAGCTCGGAGGCCAGGTTATCTTGCCCGCTACATTTGCGTGGATTCCTCGTATGATGTCTTCTTCTGCTTGGCGCGATCGCCATGCCGCGCTCATGGCTATTTCGGCCATCTCGGAAGGTTGTCGCGACTTGATGGTTGGTGAACTTGACCAGGTTCTTCAGTTGGTTGTCCCCGCTCTTCAAGACCCCCACCCGCGCGTGCGGTATGCCGGCTGCAATGCCTTGGGTCAAATGAGCACAGACTTTGCTGGCACCATGCAAGAGAAGTACCATTCTGTGGTGCTTACCAACATCATTCCCGTACTCGACAGCACTGAGCCCCGCGTTCAGGCTCACGCCGCTGCAGCCCTGGTGAACTTCTGCGAAGAGGCGGAGAGGAAGATCCTTGAGCCCTACTTGGCTGAACTTCTGCGTCACCTCCTCCAGCTGCTGCGCAGCCCTAAGCGCTACGTGCAGGAGCAGGCTCTATCTACCATCGCCACCATCGCCGACTCCGCCGAGAACGCTTTCGATCAATACTACGATACCCTGATGCCATTGTTGTTCAACGTTTTGAAGGAAGAGCAATCCAAGGAGTATCGCCTGCTCCGTGCCAAGGCCATGGAGTGTGCCACCCTCATTGCTCTGGCTGTTGGCAAGGAAAAGATGGGTCAAGATGCTCTGAACCTGGTACAGCTGCTGGGCAACATCCAGGCCAACATTGTCGATGCAGATGACCCGCAATCACAGTACTTGCTCCACTGCTGGGGCCGCATGTGCCGGGTGTTGGGGCAGGACTTCGTTCCCTATCTTCCGGGCGTGATGCCGCCTTTGTTGAGTGTTGCGGCCGCCAAGGCTGACATCCAGTTGCTCGATGACGAGGATCAGATTGACCAAGTCGATCAGGATGAGGGCTGGGAGCTGGTGCCTCTCAAGGGCAAGATCATCGGTATCAAGACCAGCGCGCTGGAGGACAAGAACACTGCTATTGAGCTGATCACCATCTACGCTCAGATCTTGGAGGGTGCCTTCGAGCCCTACGTGTTGGACACGATGGAGAAGATCGCCGTTCCAGGACTTGCATTCTTCTTCCACGATCCTGTGCGGGTGTCGTCGGCTAAGCTCATTCCTCAGCTTCTCAACTCCTTTAAGAAGGCCCACGGCGAACAGTCTAGTGGGTTCGCTGGCATCTGGAACAAGGTTGCTGAGAAGATCATCGAGGTTTTGAGCGCTGAGCCTACCGTGGACACGCTCGCTGAGATGTACCAGTGTTTCTACGAGTCGGTGGAAGTTGTGGGCCAGAACTGCCTCACCCAGCAGCACATGCAGGCATTCATCGAGTCGTCCAAGTCGACGCTAGAGGATTACCAGGTCCGTGTCAAGGCCCGTTTGGAAGATCGCGCCGAGGCCGATGACGGTGAGGACGATAACCTGGACTATGAGTACGCCATCGAGGACGACCAGAACCTGCTTAGTGACATGAACAAGGCCTTCCACACCATTTTCAAGAACCAGGGCACGACATTCCTGCCTGCTTGGGAACAACTTATGCCTTTCTACGATGCGTTTATCAGCAGCCAAGACCCGACCCAGCGTCAATGGGCTCTGTGCATTATGGACGATGTCCTGGAGTTCTGCGGCCAGGAGTCTTGGAAGTACAAGGATCACATCATGCAGCCGCTGGCGGCCGGTCTGCAGGATGCCAACGCGGCTAACCGACAGGCTGCTGCCTACGGTGTGGGTGTTGCGGCGCAGAAGGGTGGCGCCGCCTGGAGCGACTTTGTGGCAGCCAGCATCCCTAGCCTGCTGCAGGTGACGCAAATCAACCAGGCGCGCACGGAAGAGCACGTATTTGCCACGGAGAATGCGTCGGCAAGTATCGCCAAGATTCTGCACTACAACTCGAGCAAGGTGCAAAACGCGCAGGAGGTTGTGGCTACGTGGTTGACCACTTTGCCGATTACATTCGATGAGGAGGCCGCTCCCTATGCTTATTCCTTCCTTGCCCAGCTCATTGACCAGTAAGTCCGCTGTTCGAGCAGTGCAGCGATTAGAGGCTAACCAGAAATAGACAAAACCCGGCTGTGCTGTCGAACGCCGACAAGGTGTTCGGATACATTGTGCAGGCGTTGGAGGCGGAGACTCTGCAGGGCCAGACAGCTGGTCGGGTGGCCAACTCGGCGAAGCAGTTGGTGGCCACGACGGGCTTGAACGCGGATCAGATTCTGGCCGGTGTGAACCCGGACAACCAGGCGGCGATTCGCAGCTATTTCAACTGATTTTTTCTTCGATATCATTATGAGTTGATGTTAGGGCTATGGAAATACCGGGTTCTTTTTTGTTACTTTGTACAGCGATACAGGTGCTTGATGCTTTACGTAGGTAGGGAGGAGCTACGTACTAGTTATAATTGAGCTAGAGATCTATTATGTCGTGTCGTGTTCGGGTGTATTGGAGCACTGATGATGATTGGAATGAGGATTCTGTCGTAGCTCGCCGCAAGCTTAAAACTGTAAGATGTGTTGACGCTTCGGGGACCGTCTATCGATATATAGTCTGCGGCACTCCCGTCTTGTTGGCCACAACTAGACTTCCTTCCTGACCTCTCACTGCACCACCATCTCCAAAATCTCCAACACCTGGCTCTTCTCCTTCAGGGGCACGGGATTCGTCTGACACCACCGATCGTGCAGACTATTCTCCGCCAGGCCGTCCAGCTGGTCCCGGCCAACCCCAACCTCGCGGAGGGAGCGGGGCATGCCCAGCTCGCGGATGACCGCGTCCAGCACATCGCCCAGATCCACCCGGTCCAGCTCCTCCTTCCCCTGGCGGTGCAAGACCTCCACCACCTCGGCCCGTTTGACGAGGAACTGCTTCAGCTTCTCCTGCCGGTCCCGGTTCGCCCCGTGCGCCGCATTGTACTTGCAGACGGCAGGCAGCAGGATACAGGAGGTTTCGCCGTGACCGACGCCGAGGGGACCTAACTATAGACGTTCGGGGCGGGGAAAACATGGCCCCTTGGCGTTAGCCTTTGTGTCTAGTCCTGCCTTTCCGAATGTCTTTCCAACCCCACCAATCCAGAACCAAGGTCTTGATTGACAAGAACGAGGAGGAAACCAAAGCGCAAAGGTTCGGGTATATGTTTATGTTTATGTTTTATGTTTATGTTTATGTTTAGGGGTAAGGAAAGACCAACCTGATGCCCAATCCCATGACTCGCCCCCAACTGCAGCGCGCCCTGCTCGGCCGTCACGGCCGCCATGGCATCCACCGAACCAAGCTGACAGTCCAGCCGCGCCTCGGCGTCCGCGGGGTCGCGGGCGGTCCGAATCAAGCCGGGGACCAGCAGGCCCAGCGCGTGCAGGGACAGCTGGTCCGTCTCGGTGGTCGTGCCCCGCACGGCGCAGTAGGTCTCGACCCCGTGGTCCACGGCGCGCACCCCCGTCGACAGCCACACCCGCGCCGGCGTCGTCGTCGTTAGCGCCGGGTCCAGGATCACCAGCCCCGGGCCCCGGATCGGGTACTGGAACGTGTGCTTCCGGCGTGTCGTGTCGTGCGTCGCGCCTGCGAACGAGCTGTATTCGCCGGCGGAGAGGGAGGTGGGGATCGAGATGATCGGGATGGAGGGCGGGTGGAGGTCTGGGGATTGGGAGGGGCCCGTGGGGAGGGTGGCGAGGTCCGTCATTGTCGTTGCGTTGTTGGCTAGGGCCTTATCCGGGGAATAGCATTAGTTGTTTAGTTATGCATTTTGTTAATGGTAATTGTGGTAGTGGTGGTGGTGGTTGGGTGTTGGATGTATATGTATCTGAGGGGTGGGTGGGTGGGCTCGGCTGCGGGGTCATAGTATAGATTTAGATACGACCCGACAGCCAGTTCGTAATGTACATTGTGTGTCTTTTCCTCCGAGAACTGGGGGGCTCATAGTGGGGTTATAGGATAGAGGACGATCGACCGACTCACCAACGCAATCACTTTGGCTGCATCGGTCAGGCTGCCAGCCCCAAGAGTAATCAAGCAATCGGCTTCGACTTCTCGCGCGGCGTTCGCAACCTCCAGGACCTCGGACCAGAGCGTGTGGCTCTGCATGCCGATCCGTTTCCCGACCACTTTCTTCTCGCCAATTGCGGCGACCAGTCGGTTCAGTGCGTCGGTGTTGCGCGCCAGGGATCCGGAGCAGATGATGTAGACACGGGAGGCGTGGAACAGGTCGTCGACATGGTGGGCGGCGGCGGCGGGGAAGGGAATCCCGTAGGAGAGCAGGGGCCGCGGGCGGTCGACAAAGGCGGGGCGCAGGGTTTCTGTCATGGTTTTTAGTGGTTGTTGGCGGGGGGTGTGTGATTGGGGCTGGGTTAATTTAGCGAGGCGTATGAAGTAGGAAGAAAAAGAAGAAAGTGGATAGATTAAGTGGGAGGATATGTTGTTTATTATTTACTTTCAATGAGATTGTATGAGTATAAGCAAGCAAGCATGTGGAAGTGGGGCTGACATCAACCCGGGCGGGGTGGAGCGGAAAATGATGTAATCAGGCATTCAATTGTCTCTCTCCTCAACTCACTAAGTTACTTACTACTCTGCACGGTATACAAACTTACTCACTGCCTAGTCTCACATCTCACATTTGTCAGTAAATATGGAATAGAAAAATCACAATCACAATCACAATTATCGTCAGTACGCCAAACACCTCGGGTCCAAGTCCACCACCCTTTCCTTCTCGTACATAAGTCAGTAGTTCAAGTGAGCCTGCCCCGCCATTAGTTAATAACTACACATAAAATAGTAGCAACAGCATAAACAGCAAACCACAACAACAAAATTAAGAACAATAGCAGCAGCAGCAGCAGCAGCAGCATCAGCATCATCTTCTCATGCAGACTTCTCCTCATCCGTCACGGCTGCCCGCAACTCCCACACAATATCATAGCATTCCGCCAACAAGGCATTCACACTGCCCTGTCCTTCGGGGATATCAGTTCCCACGTAGAACTTGCCATCCACCCGCATGTTGTCAATCGAGTTCAACTGTCACAAAGGTTAGCTTGAACCGTACCAGATACGCCGGGAAATACACGCCTTCATGCTGTATGGGTAAAGCTCGCGCGAATTAGACACTCCCCCGGACTCCTGCACCTCCAGCAGGCATTTGCGCAGCGTCTGTAGCTGATTGTACACCGGCAGCAAGGCCTCCGAAACTGGCTCGGATGAGATCAACAGGGAATAGATGTATCCGTAGCTTCGTCGGATCAGATAGAGCAAAGTCTGTAACCACCCACCAGTCAGCGCACATCCCATTACCCGTCCCCATCTCGGATCACCCCTACCCTTTGCGCATGGACATCCGCCACGTTCCCCTCATTGTCGACGAAATTCCCATTGACCCGCGCTTCATCGATGCGGTCAAGTTTCCGCTGGTAGCCGAAAAGATCCGTCTCGCGGAGAGACCACGCCTGTGTGACGGAAAGCCGATCGAGCTGGTTTTTGATATCGATCAACCGGTCGTATTGTTCTTGGAAGCGCTCATCAATTTTGCCTTCCCTACGATAGAGTCAGCGACTAGTTTTCGGACAGGTCAGTGAGCAGCGTCAACGTACCGTTCCAGAACAATCTCCGTCCAGCGCCAGCACCGTTCCAGTAGAGTCTTAGTCGCATCCTGAGCCCCAGGCAGGGGTACGCCATCTGCATCGACAAATTGTCCGTCCTTCATGCTCGCTTGGACTTTCTTCAGCTGCTCGCGCAGGTTGTTGACCTCCGAGGCCGAGAACTGGTGGCTAGGTTAGCGGGCTCGTGCGAAACCACCGAGAAGTCCTACCTTTGAACGAGTGTTGACGGCGGAGGTCGACCGCAGAACCGAGACCAGCGTCTCATGGATGGACGCCAACCCCGGGCTCAGTTTGGCGAGCCCGCTCTGTAGCTTCTCGAGCTGCAATTGGCACTTCTCCAGGCGACTTTCCAACAGCGTGATCAGGGCAGGCGAGTACGCATCGCGACAGCGCTCGAGGGTCTCGTTCGTGTTGGCGAGAGTCTTGGTGATCGAGCTCAGGTCTTTAGCGCTGTAGAAACCCGCTTCTTCGAGGTGGTCGAGGAGTCGCTAGAGTCGGGGGTGTTAGAACCGGGGACCGGGAAACAAACCAGCACAACCACATACCTGAACCGTGGTCGCAAGAGAGTATCTGCACGCGATAAGAGTCAGATGACGGCGGACAGGGCAGTTGGGCGATCAATCAATGAGGGACCTACAGCGCCGGAGCTTCATTGTTTCTCCCCACCGTCAAGAATAGCAAGGAGATCAACTGAAAACAATCGTCGAGGACATAATCCACTAGATCCAACCCCCCAAAAAAGGAGAAAGTCAGCGACACCATCGCACAATCGAATCTTCATGCACAGGCCCACTCAGTGCTAACGTCGGTTATGTGTCAGCCGGCGGTCTTCTTCCTTCCGAACGGCATTGAGCTTCTCCACCTCGGCAATAACCTCTTCGTACATCGGCAGCACGTCGCGGGATTTGATGTAGGTCGACTTGTCTTGTTTAAGGAGGAGGAGCGCATCGCGGGTGCGCAGGAGGCGCTCGAGGATGGGTTGCTCCTTGGGATTCAGCGGGGCGGGGACGGCGGGGGAGTCCATGATACAAAGGTGAGGGGGGGAGAGAGGGAGGGGAGAGGGAGGGAAGGAGATGAGGTGTGGATTAGAGGGTTTAGAAGTATGTATGAAACCAAACCAAATGCGCCGTGAGAGAGTGAAAAAGGGACGCGATCAAGGCAAGTTCAAGGTTGGTCTGGAATAATGACCCGGCAGCATCAGATGATGATAAATGAGTAAGTACGGCGTAAGTAGATTACGGAGCAGAGCAGTAGATGATGATGGCATCGCCGAGCGGTATGACCGTATCGGGACTAGGGTGGAAGTCACGGATTGTACTGGCGCTAAACCCAAGACGGAGCAGCCCTAAGCGAGGGCTTTGACGCGGCGGAAACACACAACTTCCGTAGTGGGTGAAGCGTTAGTCACTCCCTCGTCCGACTCCCCTTCTCGACCAGGCCAGTTACAAAAAAGTCCCCTTCGTCCTTTTTCCTCTTCCCTAATCCCCATCCCTCTCGAGACTCCAGTCCAGTCCAACCTCCCGTCGACCATCATGTCTACTGCTGAGCTCGCTTGCTCCTACGCGGCCCTCATCCTCGCCGATGACGGCGTCGAGGTCACCGTACGTATTCCCCATTGTCCTTGATTGAACGTTGACTCGGTTATCATTGTATCTGGTATTTGATATCTGGAGGACCCTCCCCCCTTGAGTCGCATGGAAAGGGTGCTGGGAATATTGGAAAGGCGACAAGAACGAAGTACAAGGTCGCGCAAAGAAAAGGGAACGCAAATCGGAGAAAGACTATCAGTACAGCGATGGAAATTTTCACCAATCTTCAAAAAAGAAAGCTGCGACACGGTTCCAACTCGACCAGGGCAAGGGGAAGGGAAATCCGGATATCTCGCGCATGGTTTTTTCAGCAAGGAACATGGGAACAATCAAAGCTGACTAGGAGTCTTTTTTCCATTGAACACAGGCCGACAAGCTCCAGACCCTCATCTCTGCCGCCAAGGTTCCTGAGATCGAGCCCATCTGGACTTCCATCTTCGCCAAGGTAAATACAATCTATTTGAATCCGTGCTTCACTTCCGCGACCTGCGCAATTTTCTCCACCAGCATTCCGCAACGACTTCGATCGATTTCATCTCTACTATCAAATTCAGACGCTCACCGCTGGTTTTCTTTACCTACAGGCTCTCGAGGGCAAGGACATCAAGGATCTCCTGACCAACGTTGGCTCCGGTGGTCCCGCCGCTGCCGCCCCCGCCGCTGCTGCCGGTGGCGCTGCTGCCCCCGCCGAGGCTGCTGAGGAGAAGAAGGAGGAGGGTATGTGCTTCTTTTTCCACCACCCGATTCGATTCGCTCGCGATCATTATGACAGGACCAGCTGGCTAATACATTCCCTACAGAGAAGGAGGAGTCCGACGAGGACATGGGCTTCGGTCTTTTCGACTAAATGTCCTAAATCCGCTTTTCATTGGATCTGGATTCCCCCTCATCACTTCCTTTCTGCTTCCTCGTTTCCTATCATCTTCCATCTCCCTCTTCTCGCCCCCTCGCATCTCCTGTACCTAACAATTCTCGACCACACGAAGATCAAAATGGGAAAATTAAAAGAACAACGAATCAAACGGACAATGGCTATCCGGTGGGACTGGGCGCTCCGGCTTGCATGATGGGCTTTTCGACGTGACAGAGGTACTGGACCCGGATGACGCTAGGATTCCGGGTCCCGTGGGATCTTTATAGTCAAAAGTTTGTACGGAGGGCTGTTCCGTACTCGTTTTGATCTCTATGTCGTGTTATTCTTGTTGCTTAGCTACGTTTCGAGCTTAGGTGCCCCAGCTCTCCTGCAATGTCTGTCATGCGACCATGAGCAAAACCTCGTCCCCGGATTGTTTGGTAGATTGTAATCAAACCGCATATAAGATTGTGTAGACCGCCGGTCTAGGCCTTCATGCCGAATTAGAACACGCATGTGATAGCCACCACATGCTACTCTGCTTGTAATGGTCATGAGTTACAAGATGTCTTTTGAAATAAATATACAAGATGAGGCAGTCGCACGGAAAGGCAAGCAAAAAAACTTTTCAGAAGCAGCAACCGCCCAATACATAATAAAGCACAACAACCCCAACCTGCCAGCACAAAGATAACACACGCTAAACCAGCCGCATATTTCAATCAAACAAAAACAAATGTATAAGAAAACACCTATACCGTATCCTCGGGGTTCTGAACAGCATAGAGTCGAAATTGGATGAATATCGTCACATCCTCGATCATTGTGCCCAAGGAGCCAATCAGCCACGGCACGTTTGTGATGATATAGTTCCGCTCCGTGGAGTGGCAGAGAATCTGTAGATGCAAACAGTCAGCCCATTGACTCTCAGAATCAAGTCCAGACTTGGCCTTACCCCAGCGCCATAAGTCAGATTTCCCATGAGGGAAAGGATGAAGAACAGAAGTGAAAGTCCTGTATGTAACAAGTGTCAGCAAATCCGGGCCCGACCTCCGGCGGGGTGACACATGGTGACACATACCCTCGCATGACTTTTCGCAGTAGTTCTTATAGATCTGCGGCAGACGTGCACTGTTGTTTGTTAGCAACCAAATTTCCCCTCCCAACAACTACAACCCCCAAACTGCCAACACCATGGGTTCACTGAATGCATATGAACTCACCCCAGATAGCAAAGCGCGCTAATATATCCCAGCACCATCGCGCCCGGTGCCATGTCCACTCCGCCATCCACCTCCTTGGGGGCTGGCTTCCAGACGCCCGTCTGCCAGGCCATGGTCCAGCCCGCCATGCCGATGACGCAGATAGCCAGCACACTGCTGAAGTTCTTGACCCACGCCTTGCGACCGACGTCATTCTCCTCAACGATCTTCGCGAGAGTGTCTTCGGGCCCCGAGGTACTGCCCTGGACATAACCCTCCGCCCGGCGCGCAACCGGACGATGGTGCTCGACCGCGTCGCTGAAGCGTCGGCCCAGCAAGGGTGTGACCGTGTCCGGGGTTTCCACGGAGGAGCGTCTCCGACGATGGCGCGCCGCGGCTTGGCGCGAGTTGCGGGCCTTATAGTACAGACATTGGCTGATGAGGACGCCGTCTGCGATACAGAAGTAGACGGCAATGGCGACAATGACGGGGACTAGGCCGGCCCAGGCGCCGCCGATGAGGTTGGTGATGTCGCCGACGAACCAGACAAAGAGGAAGAGGAGGGAGATGGCTTCGGCGTTGCCATTGCGGTAGTTCTCGATGAGCTGAGGAACCTATGCACATTCCCCAATCAGCATAGCTTGCTTCACACAGGCGCACCCAGTCCTGTTGGGTATAGGGTCATTCATACAAGAAGGAAAATCCAGCAGGTGAGCGAAATGGAGCCAAGCAGTCCAGACGCTGCTTCGCGCGACGTCAAAGATACGGATTCGGCCATGGGGACGAGGCTGTCGCCTGACAACGGTGTCGCCATGTCGAGGGCTTGAGGTTGTGGGAGGGAGAGGGGAAAGGGGGCCGACTCGGGGTCAATCGCAGGGCAGTCAATTCGTGAACTGTGAGAGAAAGATAAGGGATCGGCTCGTCGGAGAGAAATGCGGTGACAGCGGCTACGGTAGGGTTCCTCGGTGGTCAGAGCGCATGAAGTGCGAGGGCAAAGAAACCACACAGTCAGAATGAATTTCCACAGAAGGGATTGAAGAGTTTGAGAGGTGGATAGATAGTCAGACAACGGTGGGAAAGGGAATGGGAATGGGAGAGGGAGAAAAGAAAGAAAAAAGAACATGCAGAAGAACGTAGCGAAGGACGCAGCTAAATTAGTACGGTTCGAGTCTTTCCTTCTTTCCTTCCTTTTGATTGATTGATTGACTCACGGGATCGATGACGGATGGCCGGTTGGTTGTTGCCTGACTAAGCTCGCCCACCGCATCGGGAGCGCATGTCATCATCTTTCTCTTCTCTTATCTATACTATCTATACTGCAAGTGCATCCGGTTCATACACGATGATGTCGTTAGGCGTCTGCAGTGGCTTGTCTTATCCTGCGTCTTGCTTATGTGCTTATGGTAAGAAAGAGTACTAGTACTAGCATTTGATCTACTACTTGCCTGATAACGGGTTCGTTCACAATCAGTATATTTTCGGTGATGTAGATCTACATTCATCCTCGCTTAATGCCGGTCTACATCACCCCTACTTAATTCACGCTCGATCAATAGTCGCTGACACCACAACCTGCTGGCCTTACCCTCGAATTCATGAATACTAGTCATGATAGCCTACACATAAAACTCAAGTAGCCATCAGGGTATCAAACATCCTCCTCTTCACCGTACCGAAACAGCTGCAATTCATCCTCCAGCATGACAGCCGTCAGCTCACCCATCGCCTCGCGAATAGGGCCTGCCAATAAGGTTTCGCGTGCCGACTCGGGCTGAATAGAGTCCAACCCATCCACATACTCGGTCAGAGGGGAATAGTCGACGACGTCCCCCCAGTTTCCTCGGTCCACACCGTACTGCAGCAGGAAAGCCTGAAGCGCATGCATGCCGTCGCCCAACAGCCACTGCTCCAGCTGTGGTTGCTGGTCCGCGCCTGGGGGCCCACGTGCATTGGTCGTCTCGTCGCCGCCGCCGCCCGATGCGTCCTCGTCCCCAATGACCTCGTCGCCAGCGTCGCCATCACGGTTGAACCCGGGGAATTGAATCCCGCCGTTGTTGAGCTGGTCTAGAAGATCCCGAAGCCACTGAGGTCGGTTCGCAGCCGGAGATTGTGCCAGGTAAGACGGAGTAGGATCGGACTGTTGGCGATGCGCCTCCGACTCATGCGGCGGAAGAGGGTCAGACGCCGAAATCCTGCCAGAGATGAACCGTCCCGGAAGAAAAGTCGTGACCTTAGGGATATCCGAAAGCACGACGTGGCGTGCAATGTCCAGCGTGATTGCCGGCGGTTCGACCGGCTCCTCTTCATCCGACAGAGTGTCGGCCACTTCCACGATCAAGGAGACCGCTTCCGGAGTGTTCCAGAGATCCTTGGCCCGAGAGATGTAAAGTTCGGTGAGCATTTCGTGGGCCGTGGTAGGCGGCATCTTGCCCCAGATGCGCTTGGGCATGGGCTGAATGTCCAATTCCTGCGCGAGCTTGCAGAATACCCATGGGTAGCGGGACATGGCTCGGCGGAGCTGGTCGCGGCACTCCTTCGGTTTGTTTAGTCGCAGGTATGCCAGGGCGAGCGAGCATTGAATGTTGGGAAGAGTCCCCCACTCCTTGCTCAGCCGAGTCTGTGTGCATAGCTCCACAAAGTGGGAGTACTCTCGGCCACGAAGGGCCAAGTGATCGATCAGCAGGCGCATGCAGTACGGATCACTGTCATTTAGGCTCAGAAGCAACTTGGCCCACTCATACGCCGTCCGCCACGTGCCCTTCATACCCAGATTCGCAATATACCGCCAGCCAACAAGCCAGAGTTCACGGTTGGCCTCCTGCACAAAATCCAGCTTTGCCCGTCCCTGCTTCAGCAGGTTCCCGAAAGAGGAATGAGCTGAGCGCCCGATATTGAAAAGCGCCCGCTCAAGCAGATCCGCGGAGACGGCGTGATCACCCTGGTGCTTAGCGATCTCCGACACCTGGAGCAGGGTGGAGATGTGGTAGGGGTTGTACTGTAAGAGGTGGATCATGCGCTGGGGATCCATCGACTCCACGCAGATCTCAAACTGCCTCTGCACATCGGTGTACGCAGCATTGTGGAGGATCTTGTAGAGTGTATTGCCGTCCGCGCGTTTCTCGACCAGCTCCATACCCAGCCCTCCGCTGGGCGCCCGGGGCCATTCATCCTTGCCTTGCATGAGGACATTGCGCCGCAGCGTCACGCCAGCCAGACTCTGGCCCCTGCTCGCGGGGCTATACCTGCCCGTCAGGGCCTGTCCCAGGTCCAGCGTCTCTGGTCCGCGATCCCTCCGACGCCCACCCGGCCCAGTAGTATCCTGATCAAAGTTCTCCAGCACCACATTCCCAAACAACTTGCGCATCTCGTTCGTCGCATTGAGATTCCGTGGATCGATGCCCAGTAGATCCTCCGGTGTTTTCGCAAACGAAGTATCACGGCCCCAGCCATCCCCGCCCGCTGTGGGGTGTTTGGGGTCGACAGCTAGTGCCTTGAGCGCGCGGTCGATCTCATCTTCGCCTGTCGTGACTGCGCCGGCTGATTTCCTTGCTTTGGCGGTCGTGGCGGTTGTGGCGGTCGTGGCGGTCGTGGCGGTGGTGGTGGTGGTGGTGAAGGCGTTGGCGGCGGCGGTCGCTTTCTTTTTCTTGTTCTTGTTCTTCTTCTTATTCTTCTTCCCTGACCCTGTCGGCTTCACGGTTCTGGCAGCTTCCCTTTCCTCTTGCTCTTCATCTTCTTCCTCATCCTCCTTCGCTTCTTGCGCGGGCTGAGTCACCGGCTCCGACACCTCAACTTCTTTCTCGGACTGTTCGTCGGCGTCGGCGTCGTCATCATCATCATCTTCCTCCTCATCACCGTCGCCAAAGGAATTCAGAAGGTCGAAGGCGTTGAGTTTCGGCTTTGCGGGTCGCGAGACCAGCTCATCGTCACTGGATCCGTCATTTTCCTGCTCGGCTTGTATTTGTTGTTCGCGCTGCTTCTGCAGCTTGCGGATAGCACGAGAGGACATTCGAAGGAGTGCGGGATTGATTCTCGTGGGACAAGATGGGTAGGGAGAATAGAGCCAATTGGTAGAGGAGAAGGTGGGGGCTGGGGGCTTGTGGTGTACCAAAAGGAAGCAGAAAAGATAAAAGAATGTCTCTCTGCATGCATGAATAATTAATTCCGCGGGGCATGACGACACAGCCGAGAGGGGCTTGGCGGCGGGATCTTTTGTTGCCAGCCAACTAGTTATAGTTTGGTTCCACAAGGTTAACTTGCTTCCTTGTGACGGATATGTATTCGATGTGCTCATGCTAGATTGGACGGACGAAAGATATATTTATATCATTTCACTATTTGCACTCAGGGGAGATATAAGCGCCATTGAGGTATGGTTACAAAGCAGATCTCATATGGCCTAAGCGAACAGCTTGTGGTATGAAGATGCAAACATTATTTAGCCGCCACTTTACCCCATCCCAGTATAGAAGCACGCATCGCCAGCTTCACACAGGAAGAAAAGTAACCTGACAACGAACTATCTGCTATCTGTCACCCTTGGTTTCCCTTCAACTGCACCAACTTCTCAACCTCTTTAATCCACTTTAGAGAGAACTCCTCCTCGGTGAACCTAAGCGCGGACTTGCGCGCTCTCAGCCGCATCGCAACCTTCTCTTCTTCCGGGAGAGCCAAGGCGGCCTCAAACGCAGCGGCAAACTCGTCCTCCGTATTCGCCCGGAAACCCGTTGCGCCGTCGCCAAGGTCAACGACGATATCCTCACGAGGGCCGCCGGAGTCATGGACAACACTAATCAACCCCGCGGCCTGATACTCCACAACGCAAATGCCGAAGTGTTCGTTCCACATGGTATTGACGCCAACGGAGGCGGATGCGAGATGCTCAAGGATGGTGGGCCAGCTGGCGTCGCAGAGGAATGTCGTGTTGTCGCGAATGCGCAGTTCGTGGGCGAGCAAGCGGAGGTTGTAGATATGCGTCTCATCAGGCGAGGCGTGGCGGACGGAGCCGATGAGAATAAGCTTGGGTTCTTTTCCAGACTCCGAAGAAGAAGCCTTGTTGCGGTAATTTTGGAGGAAGCGGGCGAAGGAGCGCAGAAGTAGAGGATGGTTCTTTTCTGGTCGGAACTGGGCAATGTAAAGAATAACGGGTTCTCGGGATGCCTCCGTTGCGGCGTCGACGTGGATAGTGGATTCGAGTTCAGACACCGCGGTGGGCGGGAAAATGACTGTTGGTTCTTCGAAAGTGTTGGTCTTCCGGGAAGGACCCCAGAGGCTGCGGACATGGGCAGACGTCCAGGAGGAATTGCACATAACGACGTCAACATGGCCGCCAACCCAGCCGTAGAGTTTAGCAAAAAGGATCCAGTACCTGCGCTTAACCTGGCCCTTGAGACCCTTTCCAGCACCGGCGTTGATACCCTTGGTGCCAGTCTGGTCGTCCAGAGAGCTAAGCATGTCGGTGGAGATGGTGGGATAATGTACATAGGCGCCAGTCGGGACGGAAGGAAAGAGTAGCTTGCTAAAGGCCAAGGTGAAGGCGTATCCCATGGTATCGACGAAGACGTCCGGAACGAGTAGATTGAAAGCATCGTAGGCAACAACTAGAGAGCCGAGGGACTGGCCCAGTAGAGTCATGTAGGGGTACATGCTGCTAACCACGTATTTGCGGGTGGTCAGGTAAAGCAGCACGACGGTGGGGGCATGTAGGTGTATGTTAAACCGGTTCTGGTATGTCAGATTCCATGTATTTCTTGAGCAGGGACGAGACTTACTGCAACCCGTTCCAGCATGGCTGTCTTGTTGACTTCGTGATCGCCCGTGTAGATGGCACAAATGGCCTTGGGCCAGCGCTTCTGGGTCGCTCTCACGGCTTCCCAGAGGACACGTTCACCTCCACCTCCGGCGTTGCTACACGATGTTCAATTTTTGATAAGCATGTGTAGAGGGAGGGGACATACCAGAACGGGTGGAAGAACCCGATGATTCCATTCCAGTCATCGCTGGTCCTGGTGCCAGCTGTTCCGGAACTGGCACTAGAGGAGGTATCGACCTTTTCCCAATCCTCATCTTCTGTCGATGCTGGTTTGATAGATCTCTTTCTGGCGAGCTCCTCTTCCTCGGCGCGGACGCGCGATACGATGTACTCGCGACGAGACCTGGTTCGTTTCTGCACGGCCCATCCCACAGCGCGGAGCACCAGGCGGAGAAGGGCCAGGGGTAGCTGAGGCAAGAGAACGCAGGTGGCGAGGAGGGCGAGAAGGGTGAGGAAGGACTTCAGTATGAGCAGCATCATGGTTCAGTGAGGGACGAACATGATAGAGGTCGAAAGGGATTGAAGGAAAGAAGGAAGCAAGTTGACAGCGTGGAGAAATACGTAAATAAGTTGCGTAACTAACTTAAGTGGTGGATCTCAAGCAGGCAGTTCCCGCCGGCTGACGAGTCACAGGATCGATAAGATAGCTTCTGACCAGTTGGTCGTGATATTATCAGCACGTGACTATCCCCGTACTGTAACTTTGGTATTGTACATACAGTAACTAATCTCCGCGGCCATTTTCTACTCATAGTGGATCCATCCATCATCCTATTTACAACTTCTCTAAACTTCTTTGCTCCCAGCATCCATTGTATGCTCCTCTTCTCCTTGTACATATTATTCCTCTCTCTTTCCCCATAATACACACACACACACACACACACACATCAATCAACAAATCCAACCCCGATTGACCTCCCACCCAACCGCAACCATGTACCACCACCCCGTGCGCCTCGCCCGCCCAACCCTCCTCCGCCGCGTAACAACAACAGCAACAACAAGAGCACCACCACCCCGACACCAAACACGCCACTTCCACCCCACACGACCAGCTCCCTTCCTGGCCGAAATCATGGACTCCTCCTGGCTGATTCACGGCGTCCACAACCTCTCCGGCCTACCGTGGGCCTACACCATCCCGCTGACGGCGCTCATCGTGCGAACCTTCATCGCCCTCCCAATCCAAATCTACACGAAGCTCCAAGGGCGCCGCGAGCGAGCCGCGCAACCCCTCCTCGCCTGCTGGCAGAACTACTACCGCTCGAGCATCAGCGCGAAGCGGGAGCAGCAGCAGCAGCAGCAGCAGCAGCAGCAGCAACAACTTCAAAGTATGCAAGAATCAAGCGGGCGCCGCCAACCCTCGGTGCGGACGGAGACGGCGGTCGCGGTCGCGCGCCAACGCAAGGCGATGTTCCGCCGGCTGGGGATCAGCCGGTACTGGAAGGGGATGTTCCTGCTGCCGATACCGGCGTGGCTGTCGGTGATGGAGACGATCCGGGCGATGGCGGGGTGCGAGAGCGGGCTCCTGGCCTGGCTGCTGCGGCTGGTCGGGTCGGACACGGCGAATCGCGTCCCCGTCGAGCCCACGCTCGCGGCCGAGGGCGCGCTCTGGTTCCCCGACCTCCTGGCCGGGGACACCACGGGGGTGCTGCCCGCCGTGCTCACCGCGTCCATCCTCCTCAACATCCACATCGGGTGGAAGGTGCCCCGGCTGGCGGAGCTGGCGGACCTGCCGCGCGCGCAGCTGCCCAAACACCTGTCCCTCCGCGCGCTCCGCACCTTCATCCAGATCATGGCGCTGAACGTCGGGCTGTCGACGTATCTCTACGAGACGCCCGCGGCGCTGCTGCTGTATTGGGCCACGAGCAGCAACATCGCGACGCTGCAGAATCGGGCGCTGGATCGCATGATGGGGCTGGATGATGCAGCGAAGAAGGAGCCGTCGATGGGGAGCAAGGGGATGCTTATGCTGTACAGGACCCCGGTGAGGCAGGTGGAGGGAGCCCAGAAGCAGGCTGGTGTTGTGGGGTGAAGAAGGCGCGGGGCTGTATGCCCTCAAAATCTGAGAGTTCCTTCACCTGGTTTTTTTTACCCATCTTATCGGCAAGAGTCGCCCGCCGTTATAACCCCTTGCATAGGGATGAAATACTCATTTCAGCCGGTGGGAATAGCTCGACGGTACTCAAGGGCAACTGTCACTAATCTCCGACGACATGAGTGTTACGAAAGCTACTTGCTCATGTGAGCCAGGCGAACATACGATAGAAGCCGGATTCCTGGCCCTGAGAGGCCGAACGCCCTTCCTAATGTGTATTGATCCCGTCTGACTTCGCTCAATCACGTTGTTCGGAGTCTAGGCGCTGCAAGTGAAGCATGAAGGGCTGCAATACCCTTATCTTGCAAGGACTCGAATGCAGACCAGAACTGCTAAGAGCCGCCGGGACGACCATGTTTCTTGTTTGAAGAATCCTCTGCACCATGCATAATACTACGCGGAAGATGCTCCATAATGTGGGTCGTACCAGGATCATAAATGCAACATTTTAAGAATTTCATAGCATATCGTGACCTATAGAATGCTAGCCTTTATGTGTGAAAATGCATATTGAAACAAACTTTATCATCCCAGACCCGCGGGAAGTAATGCCGAATAGATTCTGTATAGCAGAATCACTTAGTTCACCTAGAGAGTATCCTTGCAGTATCCAGTTTGAACAGAACGGGATTTAACAAGAATGAAGAAGAGTGATGGAGAAGAAGCCAGGATCTAACCCATCCTTCCACACGGTGATTCCGACCGACTGTCTGTACTGTTGGCAAGGAAGCTCACGTCAAATCTCTCGAGTTGTGGTGGTGACTGCTTGAATCACAATTTCGCTTTGAGGACCTCCTCAGATGCACTAGCCTCCTGGTTCACAGTGATAGTCCGGGTGTCAGGGCCCTCGCCGAAGAAGATGACCTCGACGGTGACGTCGTCGCTGGAATTAAACAAATTAGCAACATACACGTCGAAGACGCCACAGGGGGTACCTACCGGTATCGCCGAGAATAGGGGCTCGGAAGCGTCAGTAGAGCACAAACCATATCCTTGTCCTTTCCGCCCATAGCATTGCGCACAAGGTGGGTTGCGGCGTTGTTATCTTCCACGGTGAATCGGCTGGCCGCACCAGAGATATCATACTGCTGCTGACGGATAGGACGGCGCTGACCTTCTGTGCCGGCCTCAGCGGTCGCCTCGACAGGGAGCTGTTTGTTTTCAAATCCAAACCAACTGCGCAACCAAGCCTTGCTGCCACCGGACTGTTGCTGCTGCTTGTCAACCCACTCCCCTACCAACCCAACAACTTCCTCATTGCTCAGCATCTCCCAGAGACCGTCCGTGGCGAGCACGAGAAAGTCACCGCGACTAGGTTCAACCTTGGTCGTTGTGATGATGGGCTCAGCGGTAACATACGGAGGAGTCTTTAGCAGCGGATGAGGTGTGCGGCCGAAGAATTGCCGTTTGATCTTGTCCTGTGTCTCCTTGCTCCACTTGTAGAAGGCGTCGCCAAACGATCTGCTAGGCTCTAATTGACCGAGGATCCGGCCGTTGCGGACAACATTGGGTTCTCCCGGGTGTTCCTGGCGGAGACGTTGCATCTCAGATGGAGTGCCGCCAGTCTGATCTTCCGAGAGCGCTGTCGCAGACCACTTTCCATTCGGGCCCCGACGACCCAGAACAGCCCGCGAATCACCGGCCACGGCGACCTTCAGATCCTTTGATTGGGAGTCATAGAAAGCCAGCAGAGCACAGGAGCCGGAAAGAGCGGGAGCCAGCATCTCAGCCGCCACACGGCGGGAATTCGACTTCAACACCTTGTCGACGCTTTCGTACACGATATCATTATCCAGGCGAACAAACCCCTGTTTTATGGCAGCATCCACCGCTTCAGATGACGGAGTAAGGATTGATGGGTCCGCAGCTGCGGCCTTGTAGGTGGAGTTCAACTCCCGAGCAACATATGAAATGAGGACATTGCGCAGCTTAGCGGAAGTAGTCCAGCCACTGCAGGGAACCGTGAGCGTTTGCTAGTTTGGGAGAAGGGAGGGTGGCTCACGAGTGACCATCGAATACGCCCCAGAACATCCAATCACTGTTGGCTTGGCCTTCTTGAGCTGCCGCCACCGAGGATGGCACCTCGACAACCTTCTCGGCATGATCATCCTCGATAGGAGAGTTACTGGGGACCTGGACTATGTCGTACCGTACCACACCCTGACCGCGATTCACCAGGTATGACTCCTCGTTCTTCCGCAGTTTCTGGGTCGCCTGCTCAGGAGTCAACATCTCGAGGACCTGACGGTCGGAATCGTCCGTGTGCTTCGAGAGGGGCTGTTCTCCAGATAGGGTAGCGGTATAAAACTGGTCGTTGTCCACCAGAAGGGCACGACGGGTGGTTTCCACGGGATCTTCAGCGTGAGCGCCGGCTGTGGAGGAAATCGAGCGGATCTGCGAGGCGGATGTTGTTGCGTTCAGGGCCGTTGTCGGCTGGGCACCGGCATTTCCTTGATACGCATACCAGGCCCCTGAGGCAACGACCGTGGAAATCACTGCAAGTGAAAAATTCCGGAGATGCATCGAAGATTGTAATGTGGCAGGAAGAAATGGGGGATATCTGCCCGCAGAAGAGGAGGAGGATGGACGGATACTGAAATTAGGACTGCTGGAGAAGGACACCGCGCACGGTTTCCTACCAGTAGCCTTCCATCCTGCTGGCACGCGACGGGCGGTACGGAGAGCGTGTAGAGCCGCGCGACGCATTTGATTGACAAACGAAGCGAGTAGAGTGTAGAATGTGAATTCCGGGCTTTCTCCCTGTGGCTTTAAAGGGAAATTCGGAGAAAGCGAGAAAACTAGAAAGTCAATACGTATTTTGGGGGGAGAAGGAGAGAAAGGTGAGAAATGCGGAGAGACACAGCAGAATGAGGGAAGGGAGAGACAATTGCGTCATGTGATAATTACCGACCGCCCTCGTTATCAATTAGTATGTTAGTTACTGTACATACAGTACTCAATGATCACCTTTCACCTTACTGTCACTAAACTACACAATGGTTCATTGATCAGTCACAGATTGGTTTGTGTCTAGAGGTAGTATGAATCCAAAATTCGAGCATGCAAGCGAAAATAAAAGGTATATCCCGAAGAAAAACAGTCCCAAACATATGAAATAAGGAATCAATGAATCAAGCATGCCCTTCCATTTAAGGACTATCTTATATATCTCGCGCACAAATCCAACTGGTGCAGTTCCTATGGGTATGAAAAGCCAACAAAGTTCTTCGTGGTCACATATAGTAGTAAAGAAGAGAAAAATTCAAAGGGGAAGGAAGATGGGGGAAAAAATATTGAAAAGGTCTCATCAGCCGTCAGCAGGGATCCATCTGCCTGAGGAGAATCGCCTAGCCAAGTCTCAACGCCAAAATCCTTTATCGCAAAACGCAACCATGACGAAATTGGTCCCTAGCTATGGGACTGGATGAATCGGGACCAAGCACCAAAACAAAGGAGTAGGGCCAAGGCGGAAGATGGATTCAAGAATGTCAAGCCCTGCAAATACCAGGTTTGCAGAGAAAGGACTCATGTCCTCCAGTCGGTCTCTTGGTAAGTGGTCTCACCCGGGTTGATCCCAAGCATATATTCCTGGCTATTCATGTCATAGATGCCCGCGCCACCCGCATAGCCTCCGCGGATGCCAGACACTGTACTCAGTCCCGACTCGTCATCTTCGAACCCAAATTCGCCGCCGGAGCTTGCATCGAAACTACTGCGACCCCCAATGTCGCTGGGTTCATCCGCTGTGGCAGGGATCTGATCCCATTGTAACGTCTGCAAGGCTGGGTATTGGGCCAGCAAAGCGGCGGGAAGAACGAAAGCCCCGGTGGGTTGACCGTCCATGCCTGGAACCATCAACGGAGGAGGCATCGGCTGAAGATGCTGCTGCTGCTGATCCGTAGCCGAGCGCTCTCGGTCTTGAGATTCCTCATCCAACAGGGGCTTAATGCAAATTCGACCAGCCTCCGATCGAAAATGACGACCGAGAGCATCGGCACGTGCGAAGCGACGGCCGCAGCCCCATTGACCACCCCGAGACAGCTCGCCCCGACAGACAAACTTCTTTTCCCCGGAATGGAGACCTTCATGTCGTTTACGATCATGCTGTCGCGCAAAGGCCTTCCCACATACTGTGCAGACAAATGGTCTCTCATCCGTGTGGGTTCGCAGGTGGGACCGGAGGTTGTACGCTCTGGTGAAGCGTTTGGGACATAGATGACATTGAAATGTTGCGGGATGTTTCTGGACTCGCTTCGAGTCATTGAGATTCGCACCGGGACGCTGAGGATCAGCGAGTCCTAGAATGTAATTCCGACTATCAATGGATGACGTCGATAAGCGACGAGACCGCGACGGTGACGGCTCTCGAGAACTGGGGTTGCTTTGAGGTTGGCGCCCAACCGGATCGAAGGGTGACAGCGACCGCGGTGATGACACATGAAACGGCTCCAGGCTGGCCGAGGTCGAAGAGGAGCGTGCGCGCGAGGCTGGGTGGGCATAGGGATCTGATTTACTGCGCATACGAGATCCTAACAGCAAGTCACGTTAGCGATAAGCAAAATGGGCCGGGCAGAAACGCTTACGGATGGCGACTGGTGGGCTCAAAGAGTCCAAATCTGCAGCTGGCTTCGACTGAGGCGGATTTGAATTCTGGGACGGGGGTGCGAATTCAACATTGATGGAAGGAGGCGCCATTTGGGACGCCTGCCCCATGTCTCCAGGGCTAGTGCTCCCCTGGGCTGACAGACTCTCCGTGTATATGTCAGTCGGGGGAGTCGGGTACTGCGAATTCAGAGCGGGCGCAGATATGTATGGAACGTTAGGAATCATGTCCGTTCCCTGCTGTGGCATCAACTGCGGTGAAATATAGGGGCTGTGTGCCGGACTCAATGCTGGTTGCGAATGCGCTTGCTGATGCTCCGAGAGTGTGAAGGATTCTATCCCCAACGCGTTCTCGTACAGACCGGGGTCGTTTTGCGGCGCAAGGAGGGGAGAAGGGTTGTTATCGAAACCATCGAAAGATTCATGCTGCGACATATATGGCGAGGGGGCGGCGGAAGAAACCTCTGACACCTCCGAAGGAGCCCGGCGATGGCCCTGGAATGCGGAGTTACCCATAACTGCCTGCCAGTCGTGATGCGAGTTGCCGGACATGTAGGCTGCGGTAGCCGGGTCCAAGGAAGTATGCCGGGAATGCTGCGGGGTATAGTAGGTTCCAGGGGTGGAAGTCGGAGGTGACATCGGGCCGGGGGATGAGTGCTGGTGATAGTCTTGCGGCGAGACCGGAGACAACTGCGGTGACGCCGAGCGATGGGTAGAGGGGATCTGGCTGATCAGGTCGGCAGGATTGACTCCGTGGTTGGCGGGTTGAGACTGCCCGTGAGGATCAAGCATCAGCGGTGAATCGTATTCGGGGGCGGCCGTGCTGTTGGGGCTGGGGTTTTGATAGAGGGCAAAGTCAAAGTCGGCTGGGTTGGAATTCAGTAAGGTTGAGAAGTTCTCTTCTGAGGGCAGCTGTTGCGGCTGTTGCTGGTGCATGGAAAATCCCGTCGACTGATCTAGTTGATGCACTAAGTTGGGATTGAAGGACTGAGGCAACTGCAGGGTTTGAGAATAGTTCTGCGAGGCCGGAGCCAGCGTTTGCGCGGAGAGATAGGCGGCGGGGTTGTAGCCGTAAGAATCAGGTTGCGAGACGTTGGTGAAGGCAGGGAATTGAGTGGTCGTCGCGACCGAAACATCCAAGGTCAAGCCCGATGAGGGGTCATTATAAGGCTGTGGATTGTGAGCTGGACTAGGACTGCGATTGTGTCCATTGGCCGAAGACTGCCCCGAATCGCGGAGCGTCTCTTGAGAAGCCATAATATGACGACGGGGGAGATCCCAAAAATAGATCCCACGCGATGTAGGCTGTGGCGAGGAAGAAGAAAATAGATCAAATCCGACTGGATGTCATCAGCAGGGGGAAAGGAACGAAAGGAACAACTGGAAGGTTATGAAAAGGCCCGGGGAGGTGAGAGGAGAAGAAAGCGTGTAGGGAGTAAGGTAGTTACAATGGGGGAGGGAAGCAGACGAGTCAGATGCGGCGGCGGGCGGAGGAGGGGAAGGTGGAAGACGGGGCAGGAAGGGCGGGCGACAAGACAAGCTGAGAGAGAGATTCAACCCACGGCCAGGCACAGCAAGTAAGTCAAGGGGGTGCGATTCGAGCTGTCATTCGCGTGAAGCACTCAAGGCACCGTGGATCAGAGGGGGAGGGGAAATGGCCGCAGCAATAATAATAATAAGGGAGGAGGGGGAGCACGAAAGAGGAGGGAGACAGAGAGGAGATTCAGCCTCGTGGCGCAAGCATCAGCAAGCATCAGCGGTCGGTCGGTCAATCGGTCGGTCGGTCGGGAGAGTTTCACATTCTCGGGCAGCAGGGGAGTGCAAGAAACAATCCAATCCTGTAGTTGCTGTGGAACAGCAGCAATCTGTAAAGGTATTGTGTTTACAGAAGAACCAGGAGATGCAGCCCAGAGCAAGAATAGGAGGAGAACAAGAGGGAAGAAGGATTCGAATAATAGGAGGGGGGAGGAGTAGAAAGGAAGCAGTGCGCGCGTGTGTACAGAGTACAGTCAGTACAGTCAGTACAGTACAAACAGCCAGGCTGCCTGACTGGGCGACAGGCACGTGCTAAAAAATGTAAGTACAGTACAGTACTGTACAATACACAATCATTCTCCTTTACCTCCTTTACCAAACTGCGTGACGCCGGCAAGGCAGATTTCCACGAGCAGCAGCAGTAATTACCCTAAATGAACCAAGTTATTTCTTCCAGATCCTATTATACCTCGCGATACGACTAGCCAAGAAAAAGACCTGTCATGGAAGCACTTCGGATTAGCTATTATATTATCCTGTCAAATCGATGTGATCATGAATTACAAGTACTGTACATACTTGGACTATCCCCATGGGCGAGCCGCTAACTTATCGAAAGAAAGTAACGCTGCAACCGCCATGCCCAGACTTTGGGGGCCTGAATCCAGCTACATAGCACAACAGACAAACAGAATATTTCAGCATCGTCTTCAACGTCAAATCCGATTCCTTGTGATGGAGCTGCAGCTAGTTGAGTGGCTGACTTCCCCTCGAGCGAGGCAATCCCCATACAACAACACAGCAGCCTACCTCACGGTACGCAGTATCATTCTTCTCAGGTTCTCAGGCATCAAAAGAGAACGATTCTCCATCTAACCTATCTTAACTCTAAAGAAATCAGAAAGGAACTGCCCCCCCCTCAAATTAAATCAGGGCCCTTCGTATTCCTCCTAATTGTGCGACAAACAAAAAAAAAGTCCCCACCCAATCAGTGATAATCTTGTCTCGTTCTCCCTGCCCATCACTTACCAGAGACGGACGGTTCAAGCAACTCCGCCTCCTTCCAGGTCTACAGCGAGTTAGCTATGTGTGAATAGCTCAGTAGTCCGGCGTCGCGCCAGGAACCACCAACCAGTCTTACATGCTCACTGTTTCTCCAGTAGGAGAACCTGGTTGGTCAACTATCTAAGCCTTTCCGGAGGAGCTTCAAGCTCCTGGCCATAAGAAGATAGGGTTCGCATTTGGATTTAGACAAAGGCCCTCCCTCTCTTTCTGAAGGTTCGATGCTGCCCGCGCGGAACCAGAACCCGGAAATTGCCGCACGTCAAGTGGGCGGTCGGCAAGCGTTTGGATCACGTTTGCACAGCCCCCCCTTTCTCCACGCGAACGGAGACAGAGTGAGTGAGTGAGTATGTGATAAAAATAAAGAACTCATGGTAGATCAAAAAGCAAATCATCAAGGTGCAGTTCTCTTTACTCAAGGACAGAAGTTCAATTCCTTGGCAAATCTTCTATACCAAACCCAAGATGACCCTGGCCTGGTTTTACCCCGGCCCTAATTTACCAGGCGGTGTGTAGCAAATGGTCTGTCATTGTCGCTTGGAGACTTGGAGTAAACTAACTACCTTCTAGTTAGTTAGCTTAGCTTAGCTGACGGGGCACTCATCCCCCCTCCTCTCCCCACAATTTCCAGACGCATCAACATCCGGAATCATACTAGTATCCTACAAAAGTCAAAATCTTATCTTTCGCCCCTTTTCAGAGCTCTCCGAGAGTCTCGATGCTCTCGTACACTTCGTCCGTGGTGTAATCCACCATCAGGTTATCAGCGCAGCTCGAACCCAACCCAGCATTGCCGATCCAGGCTGGCTCCCAATAGTACACTCCCAGACCATCAGTAGTGGCCTCCACCACGGCTGCCAACTTCTCGAGGAACTCCTGCTGGCCCGCGACCGAGAAGGGGATCGAGCTCAGATCCGAGGGGAATGCGTACGCCGGGTTCGGGCACGAGACCGGCCAGTTCGTCTCCACAACCACCACCGGCTTGTCGTAGGTCGACTGCAGGTTCGCCAGACTAGTCTTCAGGGATGCCAAAGTTGCCGACGCGCTGTAGAACGGGTAGTAGGAAACACCAAAGTAGTCGAAGTCCGTGGACAGCAGCTCGCCCGTGGCCAGAACGGTCTCGTAAAAGTAGTTCTGCTGATCCCAGCTCCAGCCGTCGTCCAAATGGATCATGATCTTGGGGGTGGTCGCCAGGTTGGAATCCTTCACTCCCCAAGCACCCGAGTGCAGCAGTGCGCCGATGTTCGAATAGCTGCTCGTTTCGCCCAGAGGCCAGAGGAGACCGGCACGAATCTCATTGCCGATCGAGATGATTTCGATATCAATATCGTTCTCCGCAAAAGTGTTGCATACTTCTAGCGTGTAGTTGTACAGCTGCCATTTCAAAGTGCCGAGATCGGTCGTGGACCAGCCGGAAGGTGTCGTCTATTGTCCCAAACGCGGTCAGCCTAGCCATCACATCGACTGGATGGTTGCTACAATGCAACCGACTCACCTGGTCGCTAGGATCCGCCCATGTGTCACTCAGGTGCAGGTCCAGGTAAAGGCTCATGCCAGCCGCCTTGACCCGCTTGGCCAGCTCCAAATTGTAGTCCAGATCGTAGCTGCCGTCGCTGGGGTTCACCCACACACGCTGACGAATGGAATTGATGCCAGCATCGGCGAGAATTGTCTCTAGGGCTTGGGTTTGGCCATTGAGATTCTTATAGCTATAGCCCTCATCTTCAAGCAGCAAGAGAGAAGAGATGTCTGCGCCGCGATAGGTGAGCGCGGCGTGGGTAAGAAGGGGCAGCGCAGCCAGCAGCAGAGAAGCGAACATGACGGTTGAGCTGAGAGGGGGGTTTTAGTCAGGCAGAGTACTTTCAGACAAGAACATGAGGAAGAAGGGCCCCCATGCGCCTTTTTATGGGCGTCGAAAGGAGTGGAATGGATGAAAAGATGGCAGCAGTCATGCGTGCCCTGCCCATTGCCGACAGTTAGCCTGTGGACAGAGCATAAACCGTGAAGAACCAGGTCTGCACACCTTAGCGTGCCCCAAGCTCGTTAGGTTTCTCCACGATTTAATTTATCCTAACCGAAGCATGACGCTGGGGGTACAGTAGCCAGCGCTGCCAGACTCAAAAGGGATTCGAGGAAAGTCGGAGCGGCAGAGTCATTGGTGGAGGAATAGAATTGAGTGGCCGGTGGGGAATGGCCGGTGGCACGCCGGTGGCCTCATTTCTGGCTTTGGTGGTAGCAGAACAATTAATTGAAGACGTAAGAGAAAGAAAAGGAACCCATCCTCGCTTAAGAAGAAGGGTTGCGTGACAGCGACTGGCAGCTGTCAGCTGCCAATTGAGAGGAATAAGAGGCATGAGCGGCCGAGCGATGGAGTAGTTCAGCAATTCGGCCTCGGCCTGGACTACTTCCTTCGTCCAAGGCACGGCAGAATACTCGATCTACCGCTCTTGGCTCGTTTCAGCCTCCGTTTCACTTGCGACACGACACGCCAGGGGCAGGGAGTGTCTATAAATGGGGTTGGATTTCAACCGATGTGTATGTATGTGTGTGTGTGTGAGAGAGAGAGAGAGAGAGAGGAGAAGAGCAAGTGAGAGAGTTTGAGGGGAGAGGAGGAAAAAGAAAGAGGACTCTCGCGCAACATGGTATATTAGGTAGATCAACTCCCACCTGGTCATCAACATCATCATGTAAATCTGTCATCTCAACACATCGCGTCTTGCGCGTCATAAGTCACTTTGAAAATCCAACTCGGAGGTACAAGGACAGAAAATCATGATAGAAAGAAAACATCAAAAGAAAACAATCAGGTGCAATGTTTATATCCTGATCCCACGTCCCAGAAATCAAGCATTAGATACAGGAATTCCCAGACCCCAGACCCAATGCAGCACGCAAACCGGAGATATACCTATAGAGGCAAATGAAACCGAGACGAGCGGAGCAATCCCTCCGCATGTCGCCTAGCACGAAGCTGAATATGAAACCCAGACCAAGTTTGATCATGCCACCCATGCAAATATATGTACAAGCAATGTAATCGTAAGCCAACAGACACGCAGTCCCAGAAGAGGAGCTTCCCGTGAGCCACGGAAGTGATGCAATATGCCTAGTAAAGGCAAAGAAAAGAAAGAAGAAAACTGAACTTAATTGATATACATGCAAGAATATGTAAGCCCCTGTCGACTAGAAGCGGCGAGATGTTCGGTGAAGGAAGGAGCCCCCCGAGACTCATTATCGATGTATGAGACGACGACATCGAAGATAGTAAACAGACAAGGAACGAGATGTCCGTGCCAGGTACCTGGGAAAAGCACCATCGAGAAACGCACCGTGGACTAGGACTTTGGGAGTCCCGACCGAATGATAGGCTTCTGGGGGGTGGTCCTCTTCTTGCCGATCACGAGGCCTTCATCTTCTGAGTCCCCTTCAGACTCTTCCTCATCATCACAATAATACCGAGATTCATCATCCTCGGTTGAGCGTGAGAGGCTGAGAGGCGGGGCTTTCACAGTGTCGTCGGTACGGAGAATTGAGGGTACTTTAGCTGTAGAATCACAATCCCTGTCTCGGGTACCGCCCTCCCCCGAGATAGAAGATGCCCCTGACACCACGGACGGGATGCTCGCATGAGAGGTTCGCTGAGACATTCCGCTAGTATATTCGTCCACCGAGGACGAAGAGATAGTAGCAGCCGAGGGCGGTGAGGTTGTTAAGCAGGACTCGCCGGAGATGAAGTGTTCAACAGAGGGACCGGTAGCCTGCGCGTAAACATCATACGGTGGAATGAGCGTATCGTGGTCTGGTCCATGGGAGCCACGGGTCGGCACATGGTCCATGTCAAATGTCGACTCCAACCCGCTCCGCCTCTTCCGTAGCAAGGCTTCTCGAGTGAGATGGAAGGGTTCGGCGTGTTTACCTGGAAGCTGATGGGAGCGATTGCGACGGTGACCTGGGGATGAGGACAGTGCATGCTCATGAGGGATCGAAAGTAGATCCTCATTAGAACGCAGGGCAGGATGTTGCATGTGACCAAGCGCAGAAGCAACACTAATAGCCAAACTGGGCTCCGAGTGGCGGTCACTTTCCAAAGACGCTGTCTCGCCGGAAACGGACCGATCAGAGCGCCAATCCTGAGGCTGAAGTCCACGTGCTAGCCGACGGCTTGCGCCGCCAAAAAGTCCACTTAAGTTCGTAGTACCCGAATGTTCTACGCGGACAGGCGTGCCCGTCCGTTGTGGTACTGGTGAATTCCTGGAGTCGTGTGGCTTCACAGTCTTTGCAGACTCGGCTGTAGACAAGGTCGAGGTCGCGCGCTCCGGGGGGTCGGGGCGCACAATCCGTTCATGTGAGGGGTTGGATCCGGATTGAATGAAGTAAGAGGTCTGCTCGTCCCGGCCAATGGGACTTGCGGTGACACTCCGTGAAAGGGGGTGTTCGCCATCTCGAAGCTGGCGGATTGAACGCGAGAAATCTTCATCGCCCCTAAGACTGTGACGGCGCCCCTCCCAGAGAGACTTGGCAGAGCCGGAGTCAGCGGAGTTGTTGCTGGGAGTGCGCTTGCGGCTATCCTTCTCTTTCGATCGTCCAGTCAGGAAATTCGACCATTTCGCGACATTGGATCGTACCCTCTGGAAAAGAGGTACTTTGCTGACAGCCGTGGTGACTTCCTCGTTAGACACTTCGATTTTCTTGCCCTTGCTCTGATATCCCGGGTCGGTCTCTTCGACCCAAGCTCGGGGGTTGGGAAGGCCGTAGAGAATCCAAGGATGGTGCTTGATCTCCTTCACCGTGATCCGCTTGACTGGGTCCTTGGTCAACAGCCGCTTCAGGAGATCATAGAGCTCATCGTCAATGTCTTCGTACACCAGTTCATCCTCCATTCGCTTGCTGTATTCGTCGAAGCGCGGCCACTGGCTGGCGGCATCAGGACTATCCTCGACTGGCTTCAAGCGCTTTCGGGGTATAAACACCTCTTTCTTCACAATAGTCTGAAACATACTATACTCGTCATCTGAGACAAATGGTAGACGTCCGAAGATCATGCCGTAGAGGGTGACACCAAGGGACCAGACATCAATAGCACCAGTAATTCGGGGAGCGCTACCGAGACTGTCTACAAAATCCTCGCCTGTGTAGCACAATTCCGGTGCATAAAAGGCGGGTGTCCCCACGGTTTTGGACAGCTCCCTTGCATCGTCTAATTCAGTCGCGTCTGTCTCCTCGATATGTTCCTCATCCTCGTCTCTGATGGGCCGGCCAAGGTAAGATACCCCGAAGTCGGAGATTTTGACTCGGTAATTGCTGGTAACCAGCAGATTCGCTGGTTTGATATCGCGGTGGATGATACCTTGGAAGTGCAAGTATTCCAACCCCAACAGCGAGTCTCGGAAAGCGTTACGCGCCTCCGCAAACGTTAGACAGGGTACATAAGACATATCATCATCATCACTGAGCCACTCGGGCTCGGAGGGAGCGTAGCCAAAGCTGCTAGATGCCGTGCTGAATCTTCTATCGAAAGAGTAATCCGCATAGGCACCATACATGCTGCCTTCCACTGCAGCCAATGCTGCTTCGGGACCCGATGCATAAGAATGGCACGGAGAAGACTGGGTTTCATCATGGTACATCAGGGATCGACTCGGAATGCGAGCCATGCCAGGCTCTTCGTCTTGCTCCTCGTCGGACTCCGCGCCATGCTCTAGACTCCAAGCTGGGATAGGAGCCTCCTGTGCAAATGCGGCCTGCGCTTCGAGTCGTTCGCGTGCCTTTTCGCGTTGACGACGGAGATGTCGGGCGGTTTTCACATATTGCTGGCTTTCCTCCATGAACGAAGGGGTCTCGGGAATGCCAGCCTTTTCCCGCTCTAATCGGCGCTTGTCAACATGCACGATTTCCCGCAGACCTCTCTTGCGCCAGATAATTTCACCGTTCTCCACATACTCAAGAACTATGTATACTTTTTGGCGATTAGGGTCGTCGATCACTTCCAGCAGACTGACAACATTTGGATGTCGAGCTTTCTTCAGAATGGCAACTTCTTTCTTGACCTTATCCTCCGGATTGCCCAGCTTTCCTAAGCGACGACGCTTAGAGTATCGCTGGACGATCTTAATGGCGACTTTTTGTCGAGTCGTGACATGGCGACCTAGTTTGACCTTTCCATGTTCTCCACGTCCGAGCTCCTCGAGGATTTCGTATTGATTAATCAGCTTGTTGCCGGTGATCAAATCGCGGTCTACCTCCGCTGTATGGGTCCTGTCCGGCTGGTCAATTGCGAGCTCTTCACCAAGACAAGAAAATGCCCCAGAGAATGACGACTTGGATGGAATGAGGGCCAGGACTTACTCTTTGGGTGGTTGGAGATGGGTCGGATGAAGATATGGGCTACTTATCCGACCCTCGTCATCCGAGGCGATCGGAGGAGTTGGGCGAGGGCTGCGCACCGAGAAAAGACCGGGGCTAGAGATGGGTGTATTGCCCGCCGTGCGCGCCGCACGTGCAGGAGGGAATCGAGAAGCCGCCTCGATCCGAGATGGATATGAGCTGCGGGTGCGTAGAAAGGGAGGTTGATACGTGGGATGAACCTGGGATTGTAGCACAGCGTATGACTGGTCAGGATAGACAGGATAATCGCCGGGTGGCATATCCAACTGACTCAGGTGCACCATTTTTCGGGCGATGGGAGTTCGCCCGATGCCGCCGTGATCCGACCGAGCATCGACCACTACATCCTCATTGAGTGCCTGTAACGAGCTGGAAGACGTCCGCGTGGACGGGGATCTCGAGGTACTGGAGGAGTGATAGAGGTGAGGGAATGGG